TTAATTTTGTAACTCTTTGTGCAGTTCTTTTTCTCCCGTTTTGAAAAAAAAAAAAATTTTTTTTCTTCGAAATTTTCTTTTGTTATACTTGAGAGCGTTTTTCACATGCGAAAATATTTTCATTCATATGTAGAGACTTATGACGGTATGCATGCATGCTTGCTCGTTATAAAGTGCACGAACCGGGCGATAACGTATGGCGCACAGTGCGGTACCATATGCGGATGTATTATTTATAAAGACTTTGCAAAAGCTGAATCCTTGAAATGCAATAATCATAACAGCAAATCATTGTTATGAACAACTGACGACATTATTGAAAAATATTTTACGGGGGTAGTTGTTAATAGTACGGAGTCAAAACGCGTATTGGTTTAAATCTTATTTATGATTTCTTTAGAAAGTATTGCGAAAGCGTGCCCATTGGATACATCATAAAGCATTGGCGCGACGGTGTTTACTTAACGTTTAACTTAAAGCTTTAAGCATAACATGACCAACATTTTGATTCCGATAAGTTCTTAAAGCAGTTGGTTCGCTAACCTTCCCACTATCCAAGTACCTGATTGTTAAATATAAATATATATTAAAAGTGAAATGACACGCGCACGATATTTTTTTTTTGCTAAAATGCTTGCAAGCGCAGAAACAAGCTTCAAAAACCCCATAAAGTATACGAGTTCTTCGACAGTTTCAAATTCGAAATTATCCGTCTTTTGGAATGTCCATATGTCCGTCTTCCCAACTTTGAAGTATATTAGGTAAACATTCTCTCGTCCTAAAAATCTGCAAGAGAAAGTGGAAACGACTTAAATCGGTCAAAGAACACGCTCACAACGCCCACACGCCTACGCAACGAAAACTGTCTCTGTCTTTTTTTGCTCGTTGCTCATAAAATACAACAGATATGCTATATAAATTTCCCCTACTATTCTGAAAACAAAAAAAGAAGATTCGATCACGACCGATAATATATAATTTTCTGACTTGTTGGCAAATAGTTGTATTTAAAAAAAATAAATAAAAATACTATGGTAATGCACCGACCACCATTAAATACCCTATAAAATTTCCTTTAATATACATACAAAAGCATTTCAAAGTTAAGTTTTATATGGAAAATGATCACAAAAGTGGTCAGATCAGAACCATTTTCAATAGCATTCGTGCTTGGGCGACAACACGTCGATATTTTATCATAATATGTCCGTGGATTCAACATGAACAGAAAAGACAAATGGACAGACGTACAGACTGACAGACGGACATACAAGCTTACATCAATTTAGAAAATTGTTCTGAATTGATCGGTATAAAAGAAAGTGGGGCCGTCAAACCGTGCAACCTTAATATACCCTTTTACCACAAGTAGTGTTTGGTATAATGGTCCTGTTCATGCGTTCTTAGCATCTAATCAACGGAGTCGAAAACCGTCGTAGCTTTTACTGATCAAATTTGATCGTGACGATAGATGTATGGCAAAATGGATGGCGGAATTCAAAACCCAACTCTTTTTTTTACACAGTAGGGACGTGCCTTAGAAAAATGTGCAAAAAAAACCCGTAGAAAATACATATGACATATGGAAAATTCAAGAATATCTTCCACGACTCAAAAAAATCGTCTGCGCAAAAGCTTATGCTGTGGATGCATAGAGGCATCCACATCGGCACCTAATCGGTATATCTATGGGCGCAAAGTTTTGCTCTACATAAGGGGAGATCGGAAAGGTGTACTTTATTACGAGCCAAAAAAAAAAAGCCAGCAATAGCGACAAAGAAACGCAAAGTCAAACTCTTACATAACAAGGCTCGAGTGCACATTGCAAGAGTTGTCACGGATACATTGATTGCCACTTGTTCAGATCGATGCAGCAAAATTGGGCTGGCACGCGGGGTCGATGATTACATCGCTGCTAAACCAATATCCTTCTTCCAACGCTATTGGACAATAATTTCGCAAACAGCTGATATTACAAATCTAGGAAACGAGAACAATTCATTATTGTTACAAAACGAAGGCTCTGTATGAGCAGCAAAAGTACGCCTTTATGAAGAAAATGCGTTCAGCTTGTCTACTGCCAAATTGCACTCGTATTTGTTCACTTTTCAATTTGAAATTTCTCTTCATATATATATATATGTACATAGATTTTGTATGTAACGCAATTTTATTTCAAAGAAATATTTTATATTTCAAATTTAAAAAAAATTTGTCGTGAAAAATAAAAAAAATTTACAAAAAAAGGTATTAATCGCTGGAAAATTAAATTTAATTAAAAATGAGTGCAAATAAAATAGTGAATATAGAGGAGGAGACCGTATTTTATGAAACTGCCCAAAGCACCGACGACGATGAACAACCAATAAAAGCTGGCATGAAAATCGTGTCGCATGAATTAGATCGGCTGAAAACGCACATACAAGCAATGCAAAATCGACTGAAATCCATAATCATTCAGTGCCCTGAGGGCAATAGCGAAGATCTGGAGTTATGGTTATCAAGTCGTGAAGAGAGGGAAATTTTTGAATTGAAAAAAAATCAGGAAATATTGCAGAATCAAATCAATGAACTGAGAAATAATTGCGCAGACGCGAAAGAGCAAATAAAAGATTTGCGTATGCGCATGTTTTTAAAGGCGAGACAAATATTGAAATTGCAAAAAATGATCGTTAAAATGGTAACAATCAAAGATTCACTCGAATGTGAAATCGGTAAATTTGTGAAACGTTTCGAATTTGTGAGTAGTATTAAGGCGGTATGGGAGAGGGTGCTGCAAAAGTTCGATAGTCAAAAAGTATATTACTCACAGCTGGAGCAGTCATTTGTACCGAGAGCATATTTTCTGGAAGAGAAGAAATATTTCATGGCCTCGGTCAATGAAATCAAAGCACTGGTGAAAGCAATATTTGTCTATCAAAGTTGTCGGGTTAGAGATCTCGACGACCGTTTAGCTTCCAAAGTATAAGTAATAAAATTTTTATTTTGGATTTCTTTTTTTTTTTTTCTCTTTTATCAGTCGATAAGAGAGTGTGATGTAATTTTGAGAATCAATGTAAAAACAAGTACACAAATAAAAAAAACATTGTCTCCTCCGTATTGCACGTGAAGGCGAGTTGAACAGATTTGAGTGAAAAAGCGGTGTGCAAACTGGCCAGCATGCTTCCGTTAGCCTCTTCTTCTCTCTTTTGTCGGAAAGCTTTAATCGGAGCAGGACCTACTTTTCGTGTTGGTTGGATACACAAACATACATAAATCGACAATACATCACTCAATAAGTTCATAGGATGGCATGTAGACACGGCCACTACCCATATCTATATGTTTTTTAAACGAATTTTTTAGACTTTTGCAACAAACCGGCCATCACTTTAGGCAACGGTAATTTTTATTTGTAAGACAGTGCCGAGTCTGAAATTCATAGGTAACATCACGCAATGAACTAAAATTTTTAAACTAATTGCTGTTTGTTTGGCGCTGCTTAAAAATGATATGGTATGATTCGTATATATATACTTGTGAGAACTTTTAACGTAAACCTTTCAGACCACTTTGTTGCATTTCTTTTAAATTTTATGCATCAGCCTAGGGTAGAGGTAAAGAAATTGACTTGTCAGCTTAAAAAAACAATTACATTTAGCAAAGTATTTTCCGATTGTATTATTCGCATGCAGTTTACTTACCCCATGATCTCAACAAAGCGGCAAACCTCTCAGATGTTTACGTTAATGAAGACGGCTTACGAACACCAAAGCGTGTGGGATTATGAACTTCAATTTAGTGCGTTGACGAAAATGAAGCGAAAGTAAAGCAGAGATAAATCGTATTAAAAAAAGACAAACCTCGTTTCGAACACAAAAGTAAAACTTGAAAATAAAGAGTCCTGGAACTATGAATTTTTCTCCCCGTCTTTATGTATGTAATCTTAAGCATATCACCATGTATCTTTGAGGCATGTTTGAAGTTTGATTATGAGCATGATAGGGCAAGTAGCTATTTTCACAAACAGTCAGAAAGGAAAGACCTTATAATCGATTCAAAATTTGGCACAGAGACGAGCTGAGAGTCTGCGCATATACTGAGCTCACGTCAAAAAATAAATTTTTCCTCATTTCTCGAAGGCTTCTTTATCAAACCCTACAACACTTCCCGTACCAGAATATATTAAGTTTATGCGGATATATGCAAAACCCAGAAGGATTTGAGATAGAGTGTGCTTTTGTTATACTCATCGATTCGGAACCACTTTCTAAGCTTATCTATCCGTCGGTCCGCGTTTTTTTTTGCATTCAACCTAAAATTATTTTGATGAAATTTTGTACACCGACATATTTAGGCCTACGGATGAACGCTATCGAAAATTCCGCGAATCGGATCACTTCCTTGATCACTTCACATATAACATCTTATATTGAAAAGTCTTGAATAAATGTATTAAACGAAATGATGTAGGGTATTTATGGTGCGCCCAATCCCACTGTGGATCCTTTACTCGTTATCATGTAATTTGAAAGCAAACAATAAATGGTCTTTGACCGACATTTTATGTTTATATATCATTTGCTTGTTGAATCGTTGACTTTAAACTGCGAACAAAAACATTTTAATTATTCCCATGATTCTCAGAGGTGAGTGCACGCCTCTCCCTAGTGTAATGTGACCCTGCCGTTAAAAAAAAGATCTGACGCCTATTAAATGTGATTTTGTTTCGGATTGAACTATGAAAAAACGATCTCAACTATCAAAAATATGTTTTCAGTGTAATTGCTGCCGCGATTTGCATACAAAAACATTGAACTTTAAATGCAATCAATTTTTTAAACATAATTTTCTCGAAAGGTATCAATGAGTTTCCCTTCTCGACTAAAAATATTTACATTTCTATGTTGTATGGGTAGAAGTGTAGATTTAAAAAATTTTTTGGTTTCTTTTTTATTGTATATTTTTGCAAAAAAAAATTTAAAAATTTTCGAGTCATCGATTAAAGCGTTTAATTAAAAATGGATATTTTTCAACGAACATGCTGCAAGGAGTTTAAAGAACCGGAGAAAGAAGAGGAAATCGAAATTTTTGAATCTGAATCTCCCCCAGGCACGGAGGAAGAGGAACAATCGGTAGAAGAGGAAGAGAAACCGATCAATATGAGTGCTCTCTTTCAGGAATTGGAATGCATGAAGAGACGCATACAAATGATGCAATTACGCATAAAATCGATAATGATCGATGAAGAATGCCCTGAAGAGGAATGTGCCGATCTGGGCGTATTGTTAACATGTTCGGAAAATAAAGAGATTTGCGAACTGCAAAAAAATCATCATAAGTTGCAATGCCAAATCACTGAATTGATAAAATGTTGCAAGGAAGCGAAAGAACAAATCAAGGATTTGCGTTTACGTATGTGTGCGAAGGCTAGAGAAATCCTACAATTGCAAAAATTGACCGCAACTTTGGTGACTTGGAAAAATACTCTCGAATTCGAGTTCGGTAAATGCATTGAACGTTTCGAGTACTTGAAGCACGTGAAAGCCGAGTGGGAAGAAGTTAATGCGAAATTCGAAACGCAAAAGGTATGTTATACCGAATTAGAAAAAACTTTTGTACCGAAAGCATGTTTCCTGCAAGAGAAAAAGTTATTTATGACATCCATCAATGAAATCAAGCAAACTTTGCAGGAGTTATATGACTATCAAATGAATCGTTTGGAGGAATTTGAAAAACGTCTCCCCGTCGTTGAATGATTTGCTAAATTTTCTGTTGGGTTTATTTTTTGTTTTTGTTTGCATGAATGCGCAGAAAGAAGAAAAATTTTACAAGTGATAAAAGAAAGTGTTTCTTTTTAACGAAGACTTACGCTTTGGAAAATTTAAGGCTAATTGCGCAACGTTACGGCACTCTTAGGGCGCAAACAACCTTTTTTGATAAAACATTTTCTTAATTATATCTGTTGCAGTCTTTGAATGACGCTTTAGACGAGCAAGTGGAACGACTAAATAGGCTACATCAACCTGCCCAATAAAATTGTTCGGTCCATTTCCTCATAAGAATAATAAAAAGTGTACTTTGTTGCCTTATAAAGACTTTCTTTCCGTCTGAATTGTTTTACACGAAGAGATTGAATCAATAGACCCATGTCGTCAAAACTTTCGGCAATAATCTTATAGCTCAAGTCGCATAAGAAAGTTTGTTTAATATGTGGTTCTTTTTTAGCCAAATTTTCTGCACTCTTTTAATTAGCCAAAATATTGTTTTTCATCGACATTCTGCGAGAAATATTAAAAAGTCATTACAAAATTTTCTCATTGAACCATCAATACCTTAAGCTTTTGCCATGTCTTCAATATATTTTCAATCTTACCCAAGTTTCCTTCGTCTTCGAGCTTTTTGAATTTAATCTCCGAAAATTCATCCTATAATCTGGTTGGATGAATTTTAGCAGTTGGTTTTTAAATAAGCATACGAAGTGAAAGATCCGCTAAATGCTATTTTGACGACTCGAAAACCGTTCAAATATTGCACATTGACTATCGTAGCGAATGATAACATGCTAACTACTAGCGCTTGTCGTAAAAGAAATGTAAAGGAAAATTAAACAAGTGGAAGCACTGTAGCGAGACGGAACCCGCTATTAAATACTCTAAATCACTTCGCTTAGTATTCATATAACGACTTTTTAAAAAGAGTGTTATATAAGAGAAAATGGTCGGATTCGAACCATTTGCAATAGCGTTCGAGCTTGGGACAACACATATCGGCGCACTGAATTTGTCTTGTATTAATAACAAGTAAAAGTTTAGGTCGATTTAGAAGGTGAGTCCGATCGGCGTAACAGAACAGTGTTACAAACGCACACACTTAACGTACTCTCTACAATAAGTGGCGGAGGCTATAGTTTCTTTCTTGGTTTCCTGTACTTCGTCTCTCGAAAATTGCGACTTGTAGGTTAAACATGAGAAGAGCAAGCAAGACTCACTTTCTGAATCGATCGGTATAATAGATGGTGGGCCTATCTTAAGTCCTTCTTGATGTTGCATACATCTGTTCAAATATAAGGTATTCTGGCAAAACAAGTGGTATAAGGTATAACAAAAGATTATGCGATATCCAAGCGCCAGCTAATGTTTTCCACGCATGATGCTTATGTGAAGCTAATAAAATATTTATTGGATTTATTTAATCCTTATGCACCAAATACACGATCGCAATAATAAAATATGTTGGACGCTCATAAATGAGACTCGTGAAATTATCCATTTTCTCATCCATCGAATGTCGCATAGACATTGTTGCGCCTTGATTTTGTTTCTCGATAAGCGACAGCAAGCAAACAATACGATATCTATAATGAATTGATTTACAATAAAATGATTTATGAATCATGTGTGCCAATAACTATGGGCTCCTACTAACCTCTTATAGTTGCATTTACGAACACGATCTCTTATCTCGGCGGCCAAATTCTCGGTCAACTGTAATGCTCGCCAAGAATCGTACGAGCGACTGAAGCGATCCCATGTAAGACGTTCCTCGATCGTTGTCTCGATTAGTTTATGTACTTGTTCCATACAGAAATTTGTATGGAAAAAATTCCAATTATTTTTCGGTTTTGCATTTTCAACTTCCTCTTCCTCTTCTTCTTCATTAGTAGCTGTTTTCACCATGGCTTTACGTTTGCTAAGCAGAGATTCAGACAGTAAAGCATTCATGCGACTCGTAGTACGCACTGTGGCGGTGATGCTGTAAAATTTTTGGAAATTTTAATACGCAACTAAAAGTATTATTCGATAAAAGTTGGATGAAAATCGTAAATAAAACCAACCGGGATTTCATATTACTCCACGTTGCCATGCTTTTCTTTTTCTTTTCTTTTTTTTACTGATATTTTTCACTTTCTTTAAAGCGACTTAACCCGTTTACATGTGCTCGCCTCTAACATGATACTGAGTAATCTTAAGTAGGTTACAGCGAAGCGAGTGAACTTTAGTAAAACTTCTTGCACTCAACACTTAAAGATATGTTAAGTGTTTTACGATATTTGCGACAAGCACTTCTCTCTATCGTCCAGTATTCTGACGGATATACGAACGAAAGGGCAAATAAAAATTCGAGAAATGAATATTTTTCAGCTTTGGCTGCAAATCAACCTCTTTTTCTCATTTATAAAATATTGCATTTTAATGCCGGTATTTTCTTAGCTTTAGGTATTACCAAGTCATCCTTCTAGCCCCATGCACCTTGCAAAAAGTACATGTTTTCCCCAGTTTTCATTTTCTTGTTTAGTCTTCTTGGTTATTATTGTTATTCAAAAAGTTTCCTTACATGTCACAAAACTCACAAAGACTTCTACTATATCAGTGTTTTATTGAAGAGCACGTCATAAATAAGTAAAGTTTAGGAAATAGATATTTTGTAAAATTGTTTAGGGGCGCATTGTAAGTCAACACGACTCGTCTTATGGCGCTGTAATTTTCTCGCTATCCTTCATACACGATGTACTCGCGGTTAGCCCAAGTTCGATAAAACTCCATTATTTTCATATCGACAGTTCATATTGCCTTAACCGCCCACAAGATAGATGCCACACAATCACTTTTCAAAACATACCACACAATTGCACGCGAACACACACGTACTCATATGTAGTATATGAGTGCACTATTTTTGCAATACTCTGTTGATTCTTTAAACCAAAGTCGAAAAAAAATTTTTTTTTAGCTTGCGTGTTTGCGTGGATCAATCGCTTGGCTAACCCATCACTTTTGGATATCATATTTTTATACTTGCTATCAAGCAATGAAGTCATACTGTATTTACTCTTGCATTTGCAACATCAAACAATATGATCAGAAATAGCGCAAAGCGTGCTCATTTTAGCTTAACGCGTGGTTCTGATCCAATTCAATCAGTTAGGGTTACTTTTTTTATCTTCTCTTGGAACAGCCGCGAGCCTATAAACCGAGATCGATATGTAACATCTTTTATATACGTAATAAGCAAATATAAGCGAACTATAAAGTTGATCTGGAATTTGGTAACCGCTCATGCTAATCAAGAGACCACTGCTCGCAATATTTAGTCGAACTTATAATACAAATAAATGTCAAAGGTAACGGAAGGTGTATAGGCGTAGTCCCGAACTGACAAAATTCACGACCATACCTTATATTCACAGTAAAGAAAAGGCATGTATTGGATTTGTCCCTCCGCTTATAATACCAAGGAATCAGAGACTTTTAAAGCACCTCTTCCTCTCTCTGAAACGACATAAGCCCGTCCGTTTCTCTATCTGTCCACTTGCGCTCGCAAAAATGGAGGGGAAAGGCTCAAATCCGTTTTACATAAGAGACTGTTAGTTCGCCCAAAGTAGACTGTACACAGTAGATTCCAATTTATGGCAGATAACTGTTCGAAACTCATTGTACACGCTCACAAAGTCCATCCAGCCCCAGGTGGAGCGTGATCTGGCCATAAAAGACAACAAACTATGATTTAGTATTCATAGCAGTTATTAGTTTTCACTTGAAATTACAAACTAACCGCTTCTGCCTGCAAGAGACATTTATCTGTGTTTATAACAAATAATATCAGGATGATTCTGACAGACTCACAGTCAGAAAGAGCTCTCGTATTTTGGACAGCAAATTGTTTATAGTTTATGCTTAGTTAAGTATCCAAGAATGGACTGTGAAGCAATTCTAACTTTTTATCATTCAGGAGATGACGTCTCCTATAAATGCAACACTATGATGGTCAGAAGGAAGTGAGCGGCCTACCGGGTATGTGTCCAATCGACAACTACAATGCCTTTCAAACTAGTTAAGTTCAAATTCCAAATGTGCCTCAAAGACTTCTCGTGGTCCGTATTGAGTTAATAAAATATTTTTCAATTATAGCTCATTAACCTAAAATAATGAACCGTCAAAGGTTCAACGGAAAGCAAATATAATTTTCGAAGGATGAATATACGTCTTCTGACTTTGAATCGGTCTCCAGACAAACCTCTAATTTCTAAAATTTGTTTTTGTGATTGGTCGAAAGCTTATGATATCTTAACCTTCTCGCGTAATATGTTTATAGATCCAATTAATTGCCCTCCAAAGAAGCCACTATGCACAGAAGCGTTTCATTTATGAAAAATGTATAATTTTATAAAGCTCCTACCGTGTATAGAGAGAGGCATGTTGCGTTATTTGCAAAATGAGTATTAAATTTTCGACCTAAGCTCGGTATTCTGCTTTGATCCCTTTTCCCCTTCTTAGACGAGAAGTTTGTTTTGCACATACACCGCAAACAGAGATATGCACGTATGTTAAATAGATGTAACAGCGTTTAATAAGAACAGTTCATGCATAACAGTAATTGAATTCAGAATTTGATCAATTTTTAATTTGATTATTATTTTCATTTGTCGATAAATTATTAAATCAAAATGTCATCCTTTATATAACAAACTGATTAATGTCAAGGACAAGTTGAAAGATCATGAAATAGTGTATTTCCTTTTAACTTACTCAAGGTTACTTGCATTGAAATAGAAAGCAGTTTCTCGTTGGGCTTGAATTAGAAATAAAAACTCGTTTAATCGGAAAAATTTGTACCGACCGCCAAAAGATAACGTTTTCGTTCTTCAGTTGGCAATAGTCGGAAATCCTTGTCAAAGAATGCACTGAAAGTAAATGATAAATGGGCGTAGTGTGTTAGGATTTACTCCAATCAAATGGACACTTCACTAAGGAGTGAGGCAACAGTAACGATAGATGCGGTTGCGACAAGAAATGGGCGTGATATGGTCAAATTTATTATAATGTGAATATTCAGTATAAAGAAATTCGGCCCCGCATAGCAAAACTCACTCAGGAAATATTTGCATATCTTCAAAATGTACTTCAACGCGCTTGTTCAAAATATCGCGTCGAACTGAGTAATCACATAAATCCTTTGCCGATATTTTTTCAAGATGCACCCAACGAGGCAAGGAGATTAAAACGGCACAATTTCAGAAAAAACACCGCCTAGGGCTAGACCTGTTGAGTACAGAGGATGACCAAGCTCTGCTAACCATAACTCGTAAATTTTCGCCATAGAAACCGCTGAGGTGTGAGCCGGTCATTGCTCTGCTAAATAATTGTTTTCTTTCATATGTCGCCATTTTCCGCTTATCAAGTAATGACGAATAGCCCGCTTCTGCACCTTTTGAAGATAAGTGGTGAATTATGCCAGAAAACAATCGCCACCTCGTAGCAGAAGAAATAATTCTTACGTCCTTGCAATTGATTGTTTTCGCTGTTGTCTTGTTTCTGGGGTGTGTACAAAGTTTTCATGTACAGCAATTAATGGACGGCAGAAGCCTTACTTCTTGCGCTTAACTTACAACTGTAGCAAAGGCGGCAGGCAACTGGCAATTGGCTGTCTCATAACCAAGTCTGGAATCAATATATAGGCAACACATTCTTTGGAAATTTTTATGGCCAACGTTATCTTCTTGATCCTAGTTCAACGGTCGTCCAACATGTGTTGGTGAGCTTGGAATTTGTTTTCGTTAATGGTTACGAACTTTGGCCGTGCCGGACGATCGTCCGCACTCAAACTGGTATGAGCATGTCTCAATTCAGCTGGCCAAACTTTCACCATGATAAATGATGCTGCGGAGTTCTGAGTTTACGTAGATGCATTGTGTTACAAAAACAAATGGCTAATAAAATGTACTCAATTTTCCCTATTTTCCCAAAAACACGCACATCGATTCAGTTAACCGATTTTGGAATCAAAACTATGCGCCCGAAATGGCTGAAATCTTCATTAATACTTATCCACACATCCAAGCATATGCTCCCCAGATTCAACGGACTAGGGCTCCCGCCTAAAGAGCGAGAGCGAGAACTTTTCAAACAATTTATGTAACATATATGATACACATCCGCCTGAGTAGCCGAAGGCGAGGAATCTCGACTAGCAAGTCAATGGTCGTGGGTTCGAATCTCAAGTGCGGTAGAGTTTAGTCTTAGAATTTATTTCTCTGGCGAAATTAATAATAAAAATAATAATAATATATGATACAAATGAGAGCAAAGAATCTATTATAAGCATATCGTTCCAAGATCGACGTAATATGAGATAAAAATCCGTGCGAATGTCACCTGTGTCATCTATCACCTTGCTGTTTAATAACAATTTATCCAAACTTATTTAAAACAACCAAACAGAGTGACAGGAAACGTATAATAATGAGTTATGTTCTCTCAGGAGATTCGTAATTTTTTTGGCAAATTTCGTTACAAAGCTCACCAAAGTTAGTTTTTTAAATGTTTACAAGTCCTAAACATGTCCTTTCAATTACATGCAGACAACAATTCCTATGAATGCACAACAGATGTTTGTTCATTGAATTCGATCGGTATCGCTGCACGTAAGTTTATTACTTTTTGTACTTCCCTATCCAGAAGATATATTAATTTAGACAAATGTCCTATATAAACTCTTATATAGTACAGATTACAGATTACAAATTACACATTACTTTAGGCCATAAATTGTATATGTCGGTCATTTCGTAGAGGGACAATTACATTTATTTTAAAACCGATTGTCATTTTTTTCAGACGTAAGTAGTGTTAGCAAAACAAAAGAAAATTTTTGATAAAATAATATTTTTAAAATCATTTTGATTGAACCTTCTATACGACTGACTATCCAGTAAAATCGTTGAGAAATGAATAAATCATTAAGCAATGCTACCTATGAGATATAGTACAAGTGAAACGTAAGTTGTTAAAAGATTATAAAGGGCTGAAAAAGAAATGGTTGAACCGTGAGGGAATTTCGACTTCGATTCGATTCGATGCGATAACCTTACCCTCCTTTTTTAAAGTAAATACGAAAAAACAACAAAAATAATCTGAATGCAAATATAAAACAATTGAAAACGCCATAATCGGGCAAGGCCGACTGCTGAATGCCATACGCCATCTATGATGTTTCGCTTAGTATTATTCTTCAACTGCCTTCGCTGCAAAACTTCGACTTGTTTCCTACCTAAGAAAGAGCTCATTGCTCTTGAAAAATTTTTTAGACAAAGCGATCCGAAAAATAGGCTTATGTAATCCAAATTTATATTGTCTATTTCGGATGTTGATCGAAAAAGTTGCTATTTCAAAAAATTTGTTCTATAAGAATTTTTTTCAAAAGCAACTTTTTATATAAATGGTCTCATGGTCTCCTGGTTTTTCACGTTAAAATTAGATATACTTTTCTTATAACGGTATTAAATCGGGCATAATATGGGGATAGGAAATTAAATTGTTTCCCAATACGGTACTCCACTGTACCGATTTCATAAAAATGTTCCGAATATTGTGACTTGTAGATAGGTGGACAGAAAAATGCAAGTGCATAAGACCAACTGATATAATTAAATTGATTATGAAAATGGTTGTCAAGTCCCTCCGGATGTTGCATACACCACCGCGAGCTTAACACGTCCGCATCACCAATGACGTAGAGTATAATGAATGAGAAAACAAATACATTTTCCACTTAAATCCAATCAAACAAGACAGCGTTCATATGTAAACATTTGCGTGTGAATAGTTGCATTGAGGCAAATATCAATGATATGAATTTTGTGTAAAAAATATCAAAATAAATTCAAATCAATTATAGCAAAAAATTATTTCGGCTCAATAAAAAAATCCTCTTTACACCAAAGGACAAGCGATATTATAAGTTTGTCAAAACGTTTGCAACAACCAAATGGACGCCTCAGAGAAACCACGGACTATATACACACTTGATAAGCACCAAATTTTGCATCGATTTAAGTATGTCCGCATGTCCGTCTATGTAATGTCTGTTGCAAAGATGGACTCAATCGGTCAAAGGACACGCCTACAGAATCACATAAACTGAAAATACCTCTGGCTTTCTAAAGGAATAAAAAAATGATTTTTTGCTCACTACACGCGAATTACAACAAATACATCTACCGAAATTTGAACGCATATCCTATAGGTGATGCTGTAGTACCCGCACAAAAATCGCAAAAATTTAATTTTTTTGAATACCTTTACTGCACGCAGAAGCAAGTTTCAAACCCTATAAAGCATATACGTGCTTGGGTAGGTTTAAATTCCGAACACACCTGAGCATGTCCATCTGTCCGTTTACCCAACCGTATATTACCTACGGTACCCATTCTCCCGTTCGTAAAAATGAAAATATTGCTTACAAATTTCCAAAAGAATGTGAAAATGATCCAAGCCGGTCAAAAAGGACGCCTACAACCAGTAGTCCAAATGTGAATGCAACAAGAACTGTGAACACCTTTGCTTTTTTTATATATTTTTTGCTTGTTACTGTTAAAGCCATCCCGTAAACCATATAAATTTTCACTTTTATTCTGAAAATAGGAAAATTCCGCCGCGCTTATCCAAGATTATAGAGCATGAACTGAATTACTTGTTAATATATATATATATATATATATATATATATATGTATAAATATCTTACCCTATATACATATATATCTCCATATCTACATATATATCCCTCTCTAACTAAGCATTCGTGGCATATTTCGATCTGAAATTTAGTATAAATCACTTAATATAACCCTACGCCTACTAGTACATCCACAAAATGTAAAAAACAATTATCTTACGATTCATGGAGAACTTTTAACTTAGCCTTCATACCAATGTTCCGTCGGGCCTTTCAAAAAGCCAGTGCCGATTGTTCTGAAAGGTCAAGTGATATAAAAAGTGTTCATATATTACTTTTAAGTAATAACAGCTACAAGAGATCCGCCCCCGGTTTCTTCAATTTGCCCCACCAAAGAAGGGAATTTGCTTTTCGTAGTTCCAAAAACAAAGACTTGGTTTAAATGGAAAATGGTTCATGTATCAACAGAACACTTTGCTAAACTTTATAGCTTTTAAATGGCATGCTCTTGAAAACCTACAACACTACACACATTCACTTTCATTGCATAAAAACATAACGCGCTTCAATGCCGACGGTTTGTTAACCTTCATCGTTTGCCATACAATAAGTGAATTTTAAGCTTTTTAACATAACCATAAAATTTGGAACATATGCTCCAAGTTTGAAAGCAATGAATAGGTTTTAAAAGTATTTAACATTCACTTAAGCTTAGAAAACTTCAAAAATGTAACTTACACTTGTATCCGTTGCATAATTTCGTTTTGATTTTTTTCTTTTTATACTTTTTCGTACGAAATGTTTCACTTTTTTCTTTTAAATTAAAATCACTTGAAGTTTTGATATGAATTTGACTACTGTTTAGAAATAAATAAATCAAAATCTATAAACATTTTAGTTTGTTCCTTAAAACTGATGAGTGTTTAAGTGAATGCATTACATTCCTCTTTTTTTTTGCCCCATAAAAATATTTCTTGGCAAACTCTACCGTAGCGAACATGTTTGTATGTGCATCTAATGTTTGTTTGAATATGTAAAATTGTATTCTTCACGTAACCTTGTTTTCCTCTAATACTATAGACTCTGAACGGAGCTCTTAAAACAATAGGATATGTATATGGGTTACGGTGTTGTAAAATAATCAGGAGAGGTGCGAATCAGATTGAAGACCCGCAATTCTCTTATGTTCTTTTAGATTACGAATACTAAGACTGGTGTACAAGCCTATTAGGTAACCAAAGGAACGTTTGTTACAGTAATCGGCCATGGATTAGTTTCACCTAAACACCGGCTAAACATGTTAAGACCTCACTGAGGCAATATTTTCTAGTGGGCTTCCGTTTCTTTTGGCTCGTATCGGTCTGTTCGAATTGTGACAAGTTAAAAGTTCAAGATGTACTTCTATTAGTCCTTAGCTTTGCCAGGGGTGCAGAAGAAAGTTAAGATCTCCAAAACTTGGGCCCTGCTTGTGTACCGTTCCGTTACATCTCTTCTTGCCGTTGCGGGACCAATTCTTACAAATTTGAATTTATCTACAAAGTCAATTGGCAAAACACTTCACATCGACATGAGTTAGTCAAACAAAAGGCAAGAACCACTTGTATGCTATAACAGAATTGTTTTTGCTTAGTTATCAAAGCGATATGATAACGAAAAACGCATGGCGCGACAAAGACGTTAGAGTTATTTTCCCATGGCACTACCAAATAATAATCGCCAGTGTTTGTTAAATAAAGTGATTATTTTCATTACTTGCAATGGCTTGTGCAACATCGGTATTACGATGTTTAGCATTTAGTTTGAATTTTATAACTTGCGTAAGTTTAACCGCACAAGCAAAAAAGAAAAACACGTCATTTATAACTTAATCCGCAATTACATAGATGTTTGGTATTCTTGTGGCAGGCTCTTGCATATATTCTCTGATCGTGTCTAATGGAAGCGATATCATAACAGTACCGTCTGTGAGTGGATTAACCCTAAGCATTATACTTGCTTTTAGCGCGGGACTTGGTTGTTTTATTGTATCTCAAAATACAACGCGTCTGATGTGGACGGTAAGTTGTTGTTGTCGTTGTCGTTAAAGATACTAGAACTAAAAGATACGTCACAATTTATTTCTTTAAAGTATTTAACGCTAATGATATTGCTAATGGTTGCTCAGATTGTTGCCATATTTTTCGCATCTATTGACTTCAGGACCTTGGCTTACAAAGTAGTTTCGAATGCTTGGGATGCTCAAATAGTTGATCCCAGCGCAATGGCCTCTTACGAAATACAGGTTTTTGGTTTGTCCCACATATCAGGGGTGGTTAACGAGATATTAAGTTGAACGGCGTCGGATTCCGATTCCATAGTTCCAACAGTTTGTACCCCTTCTGACTGCGAAGAAAGCTGATTAGCATTGGAATACTGAATCTAATATATAAGCAATAGTACGGAGCCCAGTAACACTGTGATTCCCGTTTATCCACCTTTGATATAAAGGATATCGCATTTATTATGAAATATTTAACAAAACAAAAAACATTTTTATTTCAGTTTGAATGTTGTGGAAAATTCGGGCCGACAGATTATAGAAACTTTGGTCAAGACATGCCTATTAGCTGTTATACGAATGGTAACAGCACTGACGCTAATGATTACTTTACCACTGGTTGCTTAGAAAAGATAACTAGTTTGTTTGCTATTGGCGAGGATTTGGAAAAGATCAGCAATTGGCTGTTAATAGGTCTAGAGGTGACGAAATTCTTGCGCTTCAATTAAATTTTTACCTTTTTTTTACCTTCATACAATCAAATTATTGTAGGGCGCTAGCTCTCTAGTATTCGGCATTTATGCAGTCAGCCAAACAAACCTGGAAAGACGCAAAAACTATTACTAGAAGATGGTAGAATGCATAAAACGACCTGTTTTGGTTTTAGTTTTACTTTTTAAATTAATTAAATATAAAATTTTGTTTGAATTCTTTCAACGCAGACTTAATAAATGGCTCTCTGATCACAGGTCGAAAGTTGTAACGGATAAAGGGAAGGATTTCATTGTAGATCTATTCCAATCTATTTATCAATTTCATTTGCCATCCAACAACGATCAGTCAACAGCCCTCTTTTTAACTGATCTTTGGACGTGCAGGGGTAAAGACGTTTAACATCAACTCATAAGCATATGTCTTTCCTCTTAGTGTTCTTCTAGTTTCCTGTATAAGGCTCGACAAAATATCGACACATCATCAGCAAGACATTATCACATTTTCCAGGCTCTTTCATTCAAAAGTAAGCGGTAAATGGATTACCAAACTACAAAATTCACCTATAGTTATCAATTAACGGGCAAGACCTAAGAGAAACGAAGCAGCAGTTGTAGGAGCATTAAGCAGATAATTGATATCCATCGGCTCAAATCACGGTAACAGACTGTTCCAAGATACTTTCTTAACTGTGGATATATCAAGAAATCTAAGCCATGTTTTAAATCAATTACTATTGTGGATTGAAGAAGACTGTTTTATGCATCTTGTTCAACATAAAATTTCAAAGCAATCCAGCTTTAAATCATTCAACTCGCCTGTTAACTTTAAAAAAGTTATTTATCTAATGTTGGAATGTGTAGTTCCACGAGGAAATAGACTGACTTCACCGAGTAATATATCCACGATTGCTAGCGAAATAATCTTAAAGAATTAGGAAACTTAAATTCGTCTTTGATACCTATCATCAATACGCACAAGTTATAATATAAGGATTTCGACGTTATGTTAATAATGGGTGCATTTGCAGTTCAACGAAATCTTGAATGGGTTTAGGAAATGTTTGCTCCAGATGTTGCGCTAATGTTCGCTATAAGTAGAATTTGCGTAATTCTATGCAAGTTTTTGTGACCATGCACTCCTTATTGAAAATGCGAGAGTATTTATTTTGAAAATAATGATGTAAGCATGTAGATATGTAGTGTATAAGGATATAGCACATATTATTATTACTATTATTATTATAATTTATTTAGAGTAAAAGAATTAATTCTAGAACTAAAACTAGGATGAGCAGTAGCAACTAACACTATCAGCCCCTTTCTATACCCATCACCGAGGGATGAGGGATCTGCCCGTCTATGCAATGTCTGTTGTAAATCTTCTCCCGGTCCTAAAAATGAAGCTACTGACTTCAAATGCGACGGAAATAATGGCAATACTTGCACGCAGGTCGGCATTGAAAATGGGCCAAATCGGTCGAAGTACACGCCCAAAGCACCACGTAAAATGAAAACACCTCCGTTTTTCAAAAAGCCTAAACTGCGGCAATCAAATGTGCAAAAATTTGAGCGCATAATCTATGGGCAATACTGGAGTATTCGTGGACTAAAATAGGACAAATTGACCACGCCTATCTAATATAATAGTGTATCAAACTTTAATTTTTCTCTCCATACCTTTCCATACAACAAACAGAAACAAGCTTCAAAAACACTATAAAGTTTACAAATTCTTGGCCAGTTTGGAAGAGACTTGAACGTTTTCAAGGACACTCCTATAACGGCCACATGCCTATGCGACAAAAACTTTCATTTTGAAAATAGAAAAAATCGGCTGCGCTCACTTCATAGTATAGAGCATGAAAATTGTATTCTTTTACTTCTTTTGTCTTGCTTAGGATAACAGTGTCAGGTTTAAAAAAGATTCGGTCCCGATCGAATTTAACTTTCTCACTTGTTTTCTTTTTAGGTCTATTAAATGATTAATTTAGCAACTTCATAAAGTTAAAAATTTTATGAAGCCCTAAAAGTATTTTGAATATGGCTGTAGGGTTAGATGCTTCGAAAGCTAATCTTCGAATATTAGAAAAGTTTTGGTATCAGTATAGTGTATATAAATGTATAGGTATAGGTATATATGTATAATGCAGTCTATATAGCTTATTTCTGGATGTAGCTAAACGAAAAATTAATCCGTTTTTTTTTTTTTGAGCGACATGGAAATCATAATTTATGCTAATAAATAATTGATCTATCGAATTCTTCTTGCCTTTGTTTCTAATTATTTTCTTCTTGTTAAACTCAGTTTAATTTCTTAGGAGAGAAAGCTAATTATCTAATTATTGCAAACCCAAAATATTGCTATTTCTTGAAGAAAGTTTTGAACGTTTTGTTACAACACCTGTTCAAAAGTCGGTTTATTTATTTAGTTATCTATTATTCTTGGGCAGAGCTTCATTTCTTATAGACGCAGTAACCAGGCTTTCATTGAATTTAAAATAAAGCATTTTGTGACGTTGTCAATGTAACTGAATATTTTTTTCTATTTCCACATACACAAAAACGGAATCATAACACAAGGGTTACCGCATTTCATGTGAGAAGCCACGATAAACACAAGACGGGGATGTTATAAATAGAGATAATACTAATAAAATAGCAAAAAGTTACATTTCCATCAGTTTATTTTCTGTTAGAGGAATGGTTAATCGGATTGTATTTGGGAATTTTTGTTTAGCTACTGAAATAACGGGCATTGGCAAATATTATGTTTTATTGTAAAAACATATTTGTCTTATTACTCGTTTTAAGATGTTAGTAAAATTTTCAATAATCAAATAAAAGATTTTCCATGCACATGCAGTACAGCAACAAAAGTTTTCATGTATTTAAACATTTCTCTCTTTATGTCTGTTAGCATAACTCTGCTAATGCTTTTGCAGAGTAAAGCATTTTGCAGTTGTTGAACATGTTGATAACGTCATTCATCTCGCGATGAATGTCGATCTCTGTAACATGTTTTTACTAAACAACAGATGTTTTTGCATTACTTTTCTGTTTTGTTGTGTTCAATATCAGTAGTCGATTAAAAAGTGAAGGAAAATCAAGTAAACTAACTACCAAATAAAATGAATTTGATTTTACCGCTATATGCTGCTCTTTCCACGTTTTGGCCTTAGTTTAAAGTGAGCAGCGGCGAGAGATTTTAAGGCATTCTTCGGCAAACGGTCAAAGCGGCAGTGCATTTTTATTTAAATAACGATTTTAGTTTAATACGAAAACTATTGCAAGTGAGATATTCGTTATGGGCTTACGCTTTCAACAGTTAAAAAAGTTATGGATGTTGTATTTGTTCCTGCTTTTCTTTGCATTCTTCATGTTTGCACTCAGTATCAATTTGTATGTAACCACCTTGCAGAGCAACGGACAAGAACAACTGTAAGTTGATTTGCAACATCTTGTGTTTTTGTTAGCAAGAATTTCATAATATTCTGTGAAATTCAATTTGTAAAATGGTAAACAATTTGCAAATGACCCTCATGGATGAATTAACAGCAACAGGAAAAATTAAGTGGAAAAGAGAAAAAATATTCACCAATGTATCTCCGAACTTATTCAATGATTGATAAAAAAAAATTGGTTTGATTGTGCAATATCACATAACGCCTACATACATTAAAGTGATCATCATTGCATATATGAAAAACAAAGCTACACATTAGCATAATAACACAATTATTATGGTGTTACTGGTTATACGTATTTACGTATTTACTTGACTCACTTCTGCAAATTATAGTTTCCTATCTTCTTCAAATCCATCGAATTGAACGCTGATTAATTCGTTTAGTTTCTTTTCATTTTTGTTTTTATTTCTTTTCTTTTTAATATTAACTGGTTATGTTTGCATTTCTTTTATAGACAACCGAAGCCGCCGCCAAAACGCCGTTCACTATGGCCTATAAGAAATATTGTGGCTCATTATATAGGAAGAGGCGATATATATGGCAATATGACTGCAGGTATGTTGTTGTTTATTTACAAAATCACAGTTGTATCTCTTTCTGTGTACGTATGTATGGGTTTGTGCAAAAGTAGTGCACTAACTGTCGTTAGAATTAGTTTATTGACCCACAATTGTTTTTGTAGACGATTACAACATCAACTTATTTAATCCCATAGCTGGCGAAGGTGCCAATGGCCGTCCAGTAATTGTACCGGTTAAAGATCGCTTTCGTATGCAACGTTTCTTTCGATTAAACAGTTTCAACGTTTTGGCCAGCGATCGCATTCCTCTCAATAGAAGTCTTAAGGATTACCGCACTCAAGAGTAAGTAACGGCTTTTAGTTGTTATACTTGGTTAATTTGATTACTTCGATAGTAAAGTGCAACAGGGACAAATCATACAGGTCGGTTTATTTATTCGTCTATTCTTACGCTTTATAGATTGTTCAGTGTACTATTCAAGTGCACCATGGGTAAATCATAATTATCTGTTCATCTTGTGTTTACATTTAAGGAATTCGAAAGCAAGTCCACTTGTTACTTAAAATTGTATGTGACTTTTATTTATGCACTTATGTTTAGTATAAAGTTTCAGGTGATAGATAAACAAAATTGACTCTGAAAGCAATTAAGTTTTTTTATCTATTTTCCCAATAACCACAATAACATCAATTAAAAATTCCGCACAATCAATTTTAAACAATTATCATGTTTTTGTTGTTATTTATTTTATTGTTTATTCTAATGCAAGCCAACGGTTTGGCTCAACTAAGCTTGCATCAATAACTCGGGTTTAGTGAAATGTAAGCAAACATCTGTTTTAATTGTTTACTATCGGTTATAATCTTCAGTTGATTATAAGTTCGAATATTTGTTAACCTTGCCTATGATTAAAAAACTAATAAGTTTTCTTATCTATGAAGACGAAGATGTCTCTTCCATCAAGCAACACTATGAAGCAAATTTATCACACTTCTTCTTCGTGCAAACAAAAAACAATTATTAAAGTCTTAGCAATTACATAAAACTCTATCATTAGAAATCCAAAGAATAACATTATATATGGACTTCATGATAAATGCTTGTAAAATCATTATGTAAATGTTAGTTCAATGCTTAGGTCAAATTTCGGAATTTATAAAAAAGCTTGCAAACTTAAATTTTTTTATTTTCTATATTTTCTCTGCTTAAAAGACTAAACAATTTGACTATTGCTCGCCAACTGTGGAGACAAAGGCTTCGCGAAAAAGGATCGTATGAGACTTTTACAGTTTATGATTTCGCGTACAGAAAATCGGATTATATCCTAACCACTTGACCATATGGAAAATTAACTTTTAAAATTTTTTTTTTTTTGTAAATTTTCAAGCAAGCTACTCTTGTGTAATCGACATTAGGTGTACTTACCATGTTGATGGCAAAAGCCTTTACCTTTCATGCTTTTAGCAAGGAATTACGTGATTATAAAATGTATCATAGGCGTTATAGTTCTCCAGTTACGGACACGCCGCTTATCCTAATCACTACGGGAAACCTAATTGTTTAGTAGAAACGGTTAAAAAGCGAAAGACTGGTCAATTTCTTTGGTTTTGCTCTCTAAGTTTGAAATATTTGACAAATGATGGGTATTGCTTAGTGCTTCCTTAAGCATGCGATATCCTTTCGTTGCAAAAAGAGAAGTCTTTTAAAGGGTATATTGAGAGAAACTTCTTGGCATTCGAATTAACTTAATTATCCTACCAAATTAACAAACCTGTGCAGCAATCTTGAAAATTTTAGTTCAGTGGTAATTCACAAAGATTATCAACCTGCTCATCCGGTTCGCCTCCTTCCTGCAAAAGTGTTTATTTACCACAATTTATTGGAGTGTATTATAAGTATAAGTTGCACTTGTGAAGAATTCCCAACGAACATTTGTTAATTCAATAAAATATTAAGAAACGTTGCCATCACCTGTTTGAATCTCATCTTAAAGAGAGACCGATATGTGGGTCTGTGACATTAGCTTGAAAACATTGTCTGATATATTTTATGTTATTTGTACAACGGAATGCAGTATTTGGCGCTGCTGACATTCGCAAATCTGCAAAAACCTACATCTCAATGTCAAGCGTAAACTTTTTGCAGATGTCGTAATGAAGTCTATAAATTAGATGAACTGCCTACAACATCAGTTGTTATCGTCTTTCATAATGAAGCCTGGTCGGTGTTGTTGCGAACAATCACAAGCGTAATCAGTCGTACACCACAACAATTACGTAAAGAAATTATACTTGTTGACGACGCGAGTGATCGAAGTGAGTGTTAAACAAAATCAACATATTATAGTTATTTGTCCACATTTTCTTAAACCATTTCACACGTTTTCAGGTTACCTAAAAAGACAACTGGAAAATTATATTAAGGTTTTATCGGTGCCTACTAGGCTTTTTCGTATGGCAAATAGAAGTGGTCTTGTCTCGGCTCGTCTAATGGGAGCTCAACATGCTCGAGGTGATGTTCTAGTATTTCTCGATGCCCATTGCGAATGCTCGCGTGGGTGGATGGAACCCTTACTGCAACGGATTAAAGAGTCGCCCAAGAGTGTAATCTGTCCGGTGATTGATATTATTTCCGATGATAATTTTAGTTACACGAAAACTTTTGAAAATCATTGGGGTGCTTTTAATTGGCAATTGAGCTTTCGATGGTTTTCGTCGGAACGCAGAGGCACATCATTGAGAGAAACACCAACAAGGCCCATAAAGACACCTGCTATGGCTGGGGGGCTATTTGCCATCGATCGCAAGTACTTTTATGCGGTTGGGTCTTATGATGAGCAAATGAAGGTAATCTATATTTTTATTTTTTTTTTTGTAAATTATGAGGCAACGATTTTCAGATTTGGGGCGGCGAAAACGTAGAAATGTCCTTTCGTATTTGGCAATGTGGCGGCAGTGTGGAAATAAGTCCATGTTCTCATGTGGGTCATGTGTTTCGCAGCAGTACTCCGTACACCTTTCCTGGCGGTATGAGCGAAGTCTTGGGTAAAAACTTGGCACGAGCAGCTATGGTGTGGATGGATGAATGGCAATATTTTGTAATGCTATATACGTCGGGTCTTTCCTTGAATATGCGCGATAAAGTCGACGTTTCAAGCCGTTTGGCGTTGCGTGAGAAACTTCAATGTAAACCATTCTCATGGTATTTAGAGAACGTATGGCCTGAACATTTTTTTCCTGCACATGATCGTTTTTTTGGCAAAATTATTTGGTTAGACGGTGAAACCGAATGTGCGCAAGCCTATACACATCACATGAAGAATATACCGGGGCATCGGATATCTCGCGAATGGACGCGTGTGATAAGGGAAATCGATAGCAATGCAGATCAGTTTATGTCTCTTATCGACTTAGATCGTGACAAATGCCTGCGGCCGGTTAAGGAAGATGCACCTCGCACGTCCCTGCAACCTATAACGGTGGGCGACTGTAACGCCCACCATCAGACGATGGATATATATGTTATCACACCTTCTGGTAAAGTGATGACTAACAACAATATTTGTTTAACGTACAGTGAACCCAAACAAAGTGTTATACAAATGTTGAAAAATCGTAATGCCACTACAACTAATGTTCAGTTAACACAATGCCTAGCAAATGATTCCCGCCAACTTTGGGATTATGATTTAGACGTGAGTTTAAGAATAATCCAAATATTCTCTAAACGTAATCGAATGGATTTAATTTTAATTTTAGACACAACACATAAGCCATCGTGAGACTAAACTTTGTTTGACTCTGAAATCTGCTTTAACTGGAGGACGCACACAAAAGTCTGAAAAAATTGTAATGGCCATTGAATGTGATTTCAAAGACATCACTCAAAAATGGGGCCTAATTCCACTGCCATGGAAAATTTAATTTACAAAATGGAGAAATCGAAAAAGAATATGTAGTGCAATTAGAAAATTTTAAAAAATTTTCATCTTTAAAAACTCACTCTTACACACACGCACACACCCAAAAACACACCAGCGATTGTTAAATGTGATATTTTATTATGTATTTTAAACATGAAAAAATGACTTTTGTTAATTTTATGCCATTTTTCAAGCATATTAATCTGAAAATGTTTTCTGAATTTCTATAGAATATTTTTTTTGTTTTTATACTTTTTTAAATAATCCGAATATATATTTATTAACAATTTTATATTAAAAGTATTAAGAAAAGAGCGACAAACATTACGAAAAAACCTCTTCTTTCTCAACCGAAACATAAATGGGGAACAGTGATGATGATGCTTTTAATAATTATTAAAAACGTACGGTAAGAAGGTCAGGGGCCAACACAAAAAAAAAAAAATCGGTTTTTCTGTTCTGTTTCTGTTTCTCTTCTGCGCTGGCGATATCAACGCGTTATCAATGACAGCATAATTGTCGTCTTGCAAGTTAATTTCTGGCATTTAGTAATAATTTAATTCGCTTTTCGTTAAGTTCCTTTTCTCCGCATAAAAGATATTCTTTTAAATACTTTCCATGACGTTGTCAGTATGGGTGTTGCTATAACTATCGTTAAGTGGTTTGTTTTTACTCTAAATTTTTTGTGTTTGGTAAGTTTTTATTCCCAAGAACTTTCTGAAGATTCTTTTAATCCTTTGTTTGACTTTGAATAGTTTTTAGGTATCGGTACCATTTGTCTAAATGCATTCGGCGTAGAAGATTCTAGTCCCGGCACAGACGCTCATACCTATTACATTTTAGGTATATTGCTTTGTTCTCTTCTCTGTTTAACCATTATTATTGGATGTTATGGTATCTTCTCCGAAATCTTGGGTTTCAATATCATTGTAAGTTTTCACTTAGATTTTGTTTATGAAGAAAAATATAATTTTAATGCTTGAGTCTTTTTCTGCTTATCTTGAAACATGCTTCTTTACCGAAAGTATTCGTTATTCGTGTTGGCTTTGTTAATCATACAGTGTTTGCAAATGCATTCTTTTCAACCACATAGCTTCTATTTTGATAAGATTCACAGTTCGGAATCAACTTGGAGCTCGCTCGCAAACCATCCGTCTTTTAAATCGAAAGTAATTGTCTGATCTTTCTTTTGCAAGCTTCCATGTACATATGCCTGACTAATGTTTTTAGTATCATTGCTGTGGTCTCTTTGATTATCAGTGGACGATGCCTGCTAGTTGCTATGAAGAAAATCCAAACCAGTTAGCTCCTGATCCCATTTGCTTAGAGGCATCATTATGGCAATCTTATCAGTTTAAATTGCGGCGCCAACAAATATTTAACTGGGCTCTCCTAATATCTGAGGTAAGCAAATAGATATTGAAATAAAACAACAACAAAAATTAGATATCCAAAAAATCAAATGCCTCTCTGCGCTTTGCTTATTAAGTTTATCAGATTTCTCCCATCCTAATATCTGATGCTGGAGAAATTTACAAACTTGTGTTGACATAGGACATCAGTGTTTATTCTTTTATATCGTTTTCTTCTTGTTTAGGGGTGTTGAAGCAAAACCTGTGGATTTGAATTCTAGATATCCCGGAACTCGTAAAGTAATATTTTGCTATCAACTACCGTTTTATCATAATGTTTACAATACCCATAAGGAATTCATATATAGTGTTAATAAGCATCAAATTCTGACTCAACTTAGTTATATTTGCCCGCCTGTCTCCTGTTGATGCCCTGCTGGTCGCGTAAAATCAAATTTATGCAGACACATTGTAAATGTTGGCATGTTGTTTGATATTGATTATGGCCCAGGTGGGTCAACTGGCCCATATGAAGCACAAACTGAAAGCACGTCCGTTTCTCTAAACAAACATTTGCGGATTTTTGCTCATGACCCATAAGTTATTAAATCTTCTAAATTCATTTTATGGAGGATTTTATTATTCGCGTGAAAGAGAGAAAAAATCGGCCAAGCTAACACAACATATAAGTGATCAATTGCGGTTTTTTTTTTACTTTTTTCGCGGAATCCTATCCGCTAAATAACTTTTCCTCGTTTAACTCATGTTAGTCCGATTTGCTTCTCTTCTCATTTTATTCAATACAGTCCTAAGGAAATATCAGCATTTGGAGAGATTCCAAATAATTTTTTTTTTTGTTTGGAAGCATTTGCAAATTTACATCCAATGGTTTTGAAGAAGTTCGGTTAAGGGGTAAGTCCACTGTAACACCTTAAAAGGAGCAGGTTTTTTGACGAGAATATCCAATATACTTCCGATTGGGATTAGAAGAAAAATCATTTAATCTGCATGTCTTTAGGTGGAGCAATACCTAACGGTACTTACGCCACCCTGTAGTCACTCATATAAAGACTTTTCAAAATAAAATTTTGACATGTGGGTTGAACACAAAAAATCATTTCGGACAGACGGATAGACAGGCTTAGATCGATTTAGAGAGTGACTCATAAAATGATTCTGTACCGATCGATATAATAAGAGGCGGGTTAATCTCTGGTCCTTCTGGACGTTGCAAAAATCCGCATAAACTTAATACTCCCTGATGATGCGAATGTTTGAAGTAACTCATCGAAAATGTTCATCATCGATCTCTAAGGAATGTTCTGCTAGCAACTACTGTCGAAAAAACAATTTTTTTGACTATTTAAACTAAAAAAAAAAATTTGTTTTAGTGGGAATGACGAATGGTGAACCTCTTAACGTCATATCTAAACAGAACGACCTAATCGTTATTTATATAAATATAAAAAAAAAAATCACTACATATTCTTATTCTTTTTATTACAGACGAACGCATTATTTTATTCAATTATTTTATGTGTATTATTGTATCGACGCGTGGCTAATCAAAGGAGACAACGTGAATTGGCCAGGGCTTCTGTACGCCACAATCCGGGGAATCATGTTGGAATGCAAACGCACCTGCTATCGTGTTAATCAATGCGGATACTCGTTAAGTTCGTATCTTTCACCGCTACATAGGGAACACACAGCTTGCTGTTGCCTGTCACGAAGTTTTTGTGATAAGATGTAAGCCATTATTGATACAATTCCTTGAAATATCTATAAATGTGTAAAAATAATTAATATTTTTGTAATCTATAACTATTTTTGCCCATTCATATATTCTATACTTACCATAAAGTAAACGCTAGTCCATATAAAACTATACAAGAAAATCCATAGCATTATTCTGGATATAATTTCACTAATTAAAGTGCAAGCAGTCTATTGAAAGTTAATCATAAGTTCCATCAATTAGTATATGTTTTAATATCGCCTTCGCCGCAATTCAAATATAACTCTGACTGGTATCGCAGGGGACAAATATGTAAGATACATTATAAAGTTTTTTCGTTGACTTAAGCGTACTTGACAGTAGCATGGAAGTTCGACTTTTTGGTATCGGCCATTATCAATAGCGTAAGCGTTTTTTATTGTATTTCTAAGGTTAGCACGTTCAGGAAATACGAACAAAAGCAGACACCGAAGAAAAGACCGAAGGTACTGAAATTTATTCCGTGAAAGTGAAGTAGAGCTGAAAACCTATACCTCTAAGGTTTTTATTAAGAAAATGAGAAATAGGAGTGACCTAGAAATATAATTTTGCGTACTTGTCAGCGGAATACTCAATGCTGAGGACATAATTTGGCAAATCCAACTAGATCGGAAAAAATTCGATTTACGTATAATTGGTGATATCCCGTTAAATGAATAGGCAACTGCCGCGATCACCCCAAGATACATTTCTGGACCACTTTAAGAATAACGCACCGCTCATCCAAGTAGACGAAATAACTTCTGCGGAGGCTGAGCTGACTGAACTACTGCAGTGGACGCAGAGCCCGCAATATAATGCGCTTATGATGAGTCATTATCCGATACAACCGCTTTTCTATAGACCATTCGCCCAACTGCAGTATAGTTCGACACTCAAACACCCTAAGAAAGGTCTTTTGCAAAGTACAATTAGTCTTGAGCACGCCATATTGCAGCGCAAATGCTTTAATATGGACCGTTTCCAAAAGTGAACAGAGTCCGCCTCGTGCGCACCTGAATTGCATGTTTGGTTGAATTATTCACGAAAGAGGATGGCTTCCATGCTTATATGACCATCGATATTCCTCCATGGCGTTTGAAGGATAATAGCAAGAGTTGTATAATGCTTATGAGGCTAAATCTATTTTTGGGCTGGAAATAAAAATCTGCAGCACTTAACTGGAAAATGTACTCTGCAATCTAAACAGGTCGTAGCACTTACGAAGCTGCCATGTTTTTAAAAAAAAATATTCTTTAATGAGAATGATCCAGAACGTTGGTTATATTTTAATGAATGAATGATACCAATCAAGAGTTAAATTTGTGTTACTTCCGAATGGTGGCTACGCGTCATAATACCTTGCATTTATTTATTCTCACTTACAATTTCCAAGAGCCAAGATGATTCAGTGACGGCCGCCACGCAAAACACTGCCGATAATATCATATTAAAGTAGTTTAAGACCAAATATGTTCCAAAAGTTTCCGGATTAACAAATAATGATAAAATTATATGAAAGATGGCGCCAAGCTTTAAGATGGTAAAAAACAGTTTAATATGTAAGAGTAAATGATAAGTCAATGAACTCACAATATTAAAAGAATTGAAGGCAAGGAAAACGTATTTAAAATATAAAATAGAAAACGCCATATTTTCTCGCAGTAAGCTCTAAACTAACCCTTGGAAAGCAAATATATGGTTTAGTAAACTGCCTGCAATAATTGAAAACAAATTTAAAAATACTTTTGCGGTTTAGAATACAATGATTACCGAATGCGATGCACAAGCGCTTTTTGATGAAGATTGTATCGATAAAACTTAAGATTTGAATGAACTCTTTCCATTCGTTTTCTACTCATTGAGGCAGCGAGTGATTTCTAAAGTTCTTTTTATGCGAGGCAAATTCATAAGAACTGTTAACAGTACTTTATCATATTTTGTTATGTGCAAGTCTTCGACGCATCTCAGAGGCTTTTATTAAAAATTGTGTTTTATTGAAATTGTGTAAGCGGATTTTCGATTAAGAAAAGTATAATGGATCTTTGGTTGGCGACTAGCTAAAGCTGGATTTGGGGGAGAAGGCGATACTGGCTTTAAGTAGCGAAAAACTTTTGCACATTTGCACAGGTTTACAGGTTTATAAGTAACTCAAAGGTAGCGGCGGACTTCTACATATTGGAGTGCTTTTAAGTACTTACACCGCACTTTAAGTAAATATGCCGGCGTGTAATCGCTAGCGCACTGCTCTGCAAGTGATCATACCTTAGCAGAGCTACTAATATAATGCAGCGTAAGTACCTATATCTACTATGTAGCCTCAGTAATAACACTGTTACAGTTTATGCTTTCTCGCCGGAATTTCGCTCTCTTTTTTTGATTCCTAACACACTTGGGACTGTATTTTAGGCGATTTTTCAGCGTTTCTTTATGCCTGCTATTCCTCAGGCCTGCTTAATGTAAAAACGATTTTCACGAAAAAAGGATTGTTCATCCGCCCCCTTTTTCTTCAAAAGGTCTTAAATTTTAAAAATTATCCTTGTTTGCTCGATACTACGCAGAGCAGCAAAAGGAAGGTTTAATTGCATATTTTATATGGTGACTAAATGGACAGTTTAAATGACAGTTGTGAGAGCTCCAAGCCTTCACAGTTTACTATGACTAGTGTAACACGTGACTGCCTATCCCTTTATTCGGAATCCTTTGGAGGTAACCTAAGATAAAGGAGCAGAATATTCCCTTAGCACCACGTCGTGAAATAAGTTGGTTTACAATTAATTGGCCCGGGTGGTATCGTTCAACGGCGAAATGTAAATTTTCTTAAAAGTCAGTCAGTATTTTCACTGCACACAGGCGCAGAGCGATAAATCGGTTGTACACAAGACATTGGGGAACAGAGAAATATATAATTACACCGCACATTTTGCCATTTGTCCTCGAAAAGATGTACTTTACAAACCCTCAAAATACTTGTACAAACAAACTCTTGTTTGTATTTAATTCTACGCGTTTACTAGAGATTTTTGTTACTAATTAATACACAAGCGTATCAGGTAAAAGTAATTTAAGATGGGGTCCTAACGAACCGTTATCGCTTCAAATTTGCCAGAAATGTGGTCACTTTTCTAAATTCTTATAAACAAAAATGAAATAATTTATAAATGTTCAAGTTGTCACCTATGACGGTTCAATATATGTCTTAGCGTATATAAAAAATTTGTTTTCAAATTTTTAAAGAACAAAATCCTTTGCAACGGAATGCAACGTGGTCAGGCCCACATTGATACCGATCACTTTTCTTTAATTGAATAAAAAAACTAGTGAAACATATACAACAAATAGGAAATTGAGCATAATTAAGCACCCTACACCAGCCCACTTAATATAGTTGTTCATGCAACGACTTTTCTAAATAAGATGTTATATGGGAAGTGATCGAAGAAGAGGTCCGATCTGAACCACTTTTGGTGATCAATAAGAAAGGTGGGTCTATCTCCAGTCCTTCTGTTTGTTGCATACATCCGCAGAAACTTAATATACCCTTGGTGTACAAATACCCTACAAATGGTGTAGGGTAAAATAAAAAATGCTTTTATACGATTTCGCCGAACTATTGTTTAACATAATTTCAATACCGGTTATATATGAATAGAATTAAATGTAAAATTTAGAATATATTTTACAATCTCTAAAGCGTATCGGACTTAATAGTTGATAAATATGTACATGTAACACTACTGCAATAATTTAATACCAAAATGTATCATAAATTTTTAATAACTGTAGCGTAATGTGTCCGCAGTCAAATTGCAAATCAGCGCAACGGTTAATACTATTCCGAAAAACTGTAATAGAAAGAAAAAAAAAACATCATTTAAGCTGATGCACAAAGGTTTGTCAGTAGTCAAACTCACTTCGACGCCAATTAGTGAGACGTGAAACCATTTTTCCGCACGATAGATATCCAAATAAGCTTTTGAAACTGCCAATAGGCAGCCTTCTCCGTACGGATAGAAGGTTTTCTTGTTATTCTTTTCCACCTGATAACAGCTATCGGGAATTTTCAGGCTCAATACTGTGTAATCGCTATAACCCCGTTTTCCACAACAATGATACTATGAATAAAGGAATTTATTTCGCGAATTAGAAGAAAAGAAAAACTTCTACATTTGCATTCTCAATACTTACACTGTACTGCAAAGCATTCATTTTACCCCGTTCTACGAGCTCTTCAATCCACGTATACGTTATCATTACTTCAACAGAGTTACGAATTCTGGATTCATCATAACGCCACAATTTCCAAACGTGACCGATCATTAGCATTAGCAGAACGAAAATGTACTAAAAATTTATTTATTTAAACGAAAAGTAATTAAATTCCGTTTGCCGTTTTTCTTTTTTTTTGTTTTCCTTTACCAGAGATAACAACTTTAGGGAGCCATTAAGTGCACCACCGCAACCAATGAAAGCTGAGACAACGAGTGCCACTCCCATAACGATTTGTACAACTTTTTCCGTGTAATCTAACGATCCATAATTATATTTTTGTAGCTCAAGCGCACTCTCAACCACACCTAAAATTCCGAGGATCTGCAAGTAGTCCACTTATTTAAAATTATTCTCAAGTTTGTTGTTTTCTACTGCGGCCTACTTGGGACCGCAAGTACTTGAGAAGAAATCCGAAATCGTTGTAAACACTTTTTATTAGTCATTGATTCCGATTAGGTACAGCAGTGAAAATAATACAAAAAAATAGTTTCTGCAAGAAAGCTTCAGTGTAGACGTCGGAGGATGACTTTCTTTCGCAGAAAGAAATTGTGTCTGACTGATACATGAAACTAAAATGTTTATAATATCGTCGTAATCGTCTTACAATGCATCATTTGCCGTTAATAACCTTTATCGCTCTATTTTTTTATACTTAGGAGCACTGGCATGTATTCCATGTTATATATATATATGTATATGTAAATTATGCCTCATTTTAAACTAACATTTCTTTTCTTTCGTGAGGGGATTGGTTGAGCTACGTTAAGCTAGAAGAGTGATAGGGACTTCAGCTTAAATAGCTTGCTCTCAGCTAACACAGCTGATGAACAGCACGCAAGGCTGGCATATGGACAACACGTAAGGTAGGTGCACATTGCGAACGGTGGTAATGTTCATGCTCAAGCGTAATGTACTAACTGGCAAAAAAATTGAAAGAATGGCAAAATATTTCTAAGACAAATATTGATCAAATGTAAAGGAAGACAATTAAAATAAGTAACCCATTGAAGTAAGGAAAGATGATATTTGGGCATAAGAAATCTTAGTGTTGCTCAAAATATTATCCAACATCGCCTTCGCCTGTCCGTACGTCCGAAAAAGCAATGTCTAGCTAACCGGTCCCAGCAAGTCCAAATTCCTTTTCCAAACCTTTCCTGCCGAATTCCTTCATACTGAGAATAGACGATATCACGGCTTTTGCTATATTACGCCTATTTTTTGGCACAATTGTTTTAATGACTGGACGTAGTTTCCATTAAGGATGTCTTCATTTGATTGGCACAAACTTTAATTACCACGCCCAACTAACCCCTTCAAATAGGGTCGTTAAGGATACTCCGTCGCGGTTATTTACGCTTTGGATATTCTAGCACATCCAGTAAGGATTTATCTACGCTACCTTTTGAATAAATGAAAAGTAGTCCATCGAAAAATTCTTCTTTTTTGTAACAAAACTACATCTATTCAGAGCCCCAAGAACTGTACTTTGAAATAAAGAAGTCGTCACATTCTTGTCTCGTACCCTACAGTGCTACATACAATCGCTCTTATCGAACAAGACCGAAGTAGTTCGTGCCCCTTTTATAGGCAAACCTCATGAATCCGTCAATATCGCCATCTCACATCTGTATTTCATCCCACGAACTTATTGAGTGCTACGTTAATTAATCTATAGCTTAGAAAAGGGACTAATAGCATTAACGGTTAAGTAACTTGCTACATATTCACGCTTAAAAGATAACAAATGAACACAATGTACCATGAAGTGAAGCATGAACCATTACATGCTTCTAAGCGATGCTTAGCGACTTTTTAGTGTACGCAACGGTAGAACATGTTGGTGTTGTGTTTTGTGAGTTGGGAACGGGTTTTGAACTAAATTTTTTTAAAAACATTCATTCACTTTTTTAGGAAATCTTTATTAATAGAATGAATTGTTTTATTGAAAAAGATTTGATTGATCGAAAAGGGCATGCTAGGGTTATGCTAAAGTGAACTTGAAGACACATATGGTTTAATGAAAGTGCTGCTGATTAAAATATAAAAAAATCATAATAGGTGCTTGTTGGTGGCTAAGTGAAATTCCCTGTACATGAAATATGGTTTCATGCTTGTACGGCTGGAATGTATAAAACTTTTCATTTTTATTTCGAAATCGAAACTCATTCCACATCTGCTTAGTTTCTTCCACAAAAAGAACAGTATTCGGGACTATAAAAGCAATTCATTTACTTGTTTGCAAAGCGTTTATCGATGCTTGAGATTTGATTAATGTGCAAATTCGCGCGAATCACTTGTTACTTACAACACAAAACGTATTAATTACGACTATGGACCACTGTAAATATGATCGAATAGTTGCCATAACGAATTTGATAACTCTTCTTCTTTAAGGATTTGATCTGTTCTGATTAATAATTTTACGTCTTCTTTTTCCACAAGATTAACGGAAAATTCACGCACACCCGAACGACGCATCTAAACGTATGATAACTAAATGAAATAAAGCAATTCACTGAATAACCAAAATAAACGAAAATCTTAGGTTGTAGGAAAAATCATGGCTATTTATTGCTAATTAATAAATGAATTTCTCGAAGGAAAAATCATTCGCAAATCATTCAATTAGATAACTGTTTGCACCGTCGATTGCTTTTGCTTTCTTGTATGTTTCATTTTACCACAAAGAAGGCGAAGGTCACCGTTGATCTTTTATGTTTCATAGATAAAAAATTTTTCTTTACGACGTCACTACTGAGGCATAAAATTTCGAGAACAAGGCGGATAGATCGATAAGTTGATACGCGTTAGAGAGTTTCACTCAAGTGAAGATGAATTTTTAATCTCTGGAAGCAACTGGAATTTTGGAGCGTACGCATTATGACTTTTCCAACAACTTGATAAATTGAAACAACAATTTCTTTGAGCTTTTACAGCCAAAATATATATCAAACTACAGTCGGCAAAAGAGCAGCAGATATTGCTTGCAACGTAATGATTTTTTAAAGAGGTAGCAATCATTTCATCTAAAACCAAGCCAAAGGCTTTTATTATTACTGTTTCATATTATTGTTATTGTCGCTTAAGGAATAAAAAATAATATGAATATAAAAATTATAAAAATGTAATAATAAAATTATAATATATAATATAATAATAAACAATAGTGTAACAATAATAATATTATCCTGTTTCTTTTTTATTTTGCATCACGAATATCTGCAACAATTTCTGAGGAAATTCAACTATTCTTCAAGAGATATAAGAATGATCGCAACAAGTCGATGTACGATAGGGTGCTATCACAAAATCAGGATCATCTGTAGACTCGACTAGCTTCACCTTTGCAATTGATTCTTCATTAATACTCTCTCGTCCTCTCTCGTTCATAGACGAAGTAAATTTACGCCCACAATTTCCATAAGAAGATTTTCCATCGTTTGTGTTCGCTTGAATGAAATGTACTAAAATACTCAAAAGAACGTGGAGGTCAACAGATGCTTTCTCGCACTCAATTCATTCGTTCTTTGTATCCTAGTGTAGTGATGTTTGAGTTAACGAAAGAGAAATTAATGGCTTTTTGTGCATATGAGTCTACAAATATTTCTAATAGCCTTTGTAGCGCCGAAAAGAAGTGTTATGTAATGTAATAAAATTTGAAAAAGAACAAAAAAATGACTGTTTTCATCACACGAATTAATATTCATTCTTCTTTCATCTTTCATTTAATGTATATATATATGTCTTAAAAACTAGGCAGTAGCGGAAAACTTTGATATTCTTACGTTTGCTGAATGTTGATTCTGCACAACTGCGTCGTTTCGAGCCAAGAAAAGCTGCTTAGTTGGTAGTATGGAAAGAGTTTCAAAGGAGGCTTATAAACAAAGTGTTTTGATGCGTGTGAAAAAATGGTTTTGCGAATACGAACAACGAGCTGGAAGAAAAGCAAAAAAGCTCTGAGGAAATCTAAAAAGCTCGCAAGAAAGCCAAAAAAGCTTCCAGGAAAGTCGTTTAAAATGAAGAGTTTCAAAGCTCTTTTGAAAGTATGTCCATATCAAACCTTTGATTCCCTTTAAGCTTTTCAATGCGATGAAAATGTGTTAGGAAAACCCACCAATACTCAATAGGTCTCAAGTGACGCTTTGATATTGTTTTGCTACCAGCACAATTTGGTCTTGGCTCTTATTGGCAATTGGTTATCCAAAATTGTTTCGCATACGATATTTTTCAGTATTCTTGAATGGGATATAAACGACGCCAAACAGCAGCTTCACTTCACCTTAAATATTTTTAATTTTTAAAAAATTCTGGTCGAAGCCAAGCGAACATCGTCGTTAAGTGTAATCCTTCTCAAGTGTTCAAAAATTACCAACACTATCGAATTGAAACTAAGAAAGATGCCCAGTTAACCTTTAGCGGCCACTTTAATACTTTCCCGGCGTATCGCTTGGCAGCAGATGCTCCCTAAAGGCGGCTCTGTTTTGGTTTAGACGTCGCGCGAAATATTCATCCCCCATCTCTGATCAGATAAAATTGCTTTCAGAGTAACGAAACTATTTGTGCCTCAATATCAAATAACAAGAAACTGGTTACAACCACTGTCTGTCTGAATTGTTCATAACTAAATGTCGATATGTAAGCCTTGGCGATTCTAAATTTTGACCGTTTTCTCACAGTCGGCTTATGCTTACATACTAAAAATAGTTTTGAAAAGTCGAATTGGGGTTTGTTCAGAAAAGTCCTTTCATATAGATTCGTGAGGTGTCCTCAAAAATATCTTACGTTTCCTAATTCAAAATGCAACCATATCTTTATCCTAATTACTCAGCGCACATCTGTTACCGTGTTTACAGAGTTCTGTTAACGGAGTTGGTTTTAGTCTTTGCTAATTAAAATCGAGTTTATCTTCCCACCCTAAGCACGCAGTTGGCAAAAGGTGCGATGCTTCAAATGTGTGAAATTCATAGAAGCGACCTTAAACAGCGAAATCGGTTCCTATCCGAGATAAATCCAACATTGCTCCACACCACCAAGGGAAATCATTTAGGGAAGCTAAAGACGTTTTGCGTTGCCAGAAATGACGTAACAAAGGTGATTTTTTTTTCTTTGCATTATAATGGATAAAAGTGTGAAAATACAATGAAATTTTCAGTCCTAGGGGCAAAAAATTCCCATTTTTTTTTCGTCTCCGTCTATATCAAGAGCCAAGCTAATAATCGGCAATTATCGCTAGCGTTTAAGAAAAAGTTTGCGATTATTTGTAAAAACCTATGACGCTAGCATACCACTTGCCGATCACTGGTTGGCGAATCGATTAAGGAAAAAGGTCGGTAGCTTCTTATATCTTATATCATTCATCATAAGTTTCCTTTGATTCATTATCAATTAATTGAGCAGCCCATTAATCTCATGGGAGATATTAAGAAAGGGTCTAAGGTCTGCGTTTTTTGAAGAAATAACTACCACTCGTCCTAACAAAAAATGTTTGTTGCATTAAAAATTAACAAAAAGTTCTAAAAAGCTATGTGAAGTATTTTCATGGTTTTTAGAATAGTTCGCAATTTATTGTATTAAAAATGTGCATTTCGTAGTTTTGTTTTGTTTTATTTTGCCTTTGGATATGGTATTCGACACCGAATGTTATCGTCAAATAAATTATGATTCGACCCTAACGAAAAACGTATACATTGTCAACAGCTGTAAGCTCGCTACTCGACGCGTCGACAGAGGAGCTGATTCATCGTTCACAACCGTAAATCTGAACACAAAAATTAGCGTCGAGCTTATGGACGACGACAACCATAAAGTGACCTCTGCATTAAGATAACGTGAAAAACTTGTAGAAATGAATTCATGTTTTCAATGCACAACATTTTTAGAACACTTTTATATTGCTTTATGGATCTACTTTGATCATCGGTTTTGTTATTTGATTAAAAAAAAAGAATAAGAGAAAAATGCGCGGAGACGTTCGATTTACTTCTTCTTTAAATATCTTTTCAGCCAGTCAATCAAGAAACATCATAAAATATTTATACATTTACTTTGCATATATATATATATATATATATATATTTATATTTTATTTTACATAGAGTTAATATTACAATAATATGTATAAATAAATTTTTATTTGTAACGGTATTGTTTCATGTATACATAAATATATTTTTGAATAGTTATAAAATACTTGGACTGGTGATCGGTTAGATTTTCTAACAGCAGGTGGACTAATTTTCGAAAAGCCGTCTTCGGCGTTCGTTACGCAAGTTTATGCCCAGTAATGAAGCTATTCCCAAGGCTAAAACCTAAAAGATATAATGTAATATTAATTAATATTTTGGATTTACTTTACTTATATTAATTGTTTTAAGTATTATAGCCACAATCCCTGTCGCGTAAGGTTAACAGCGTATTTAGTCGATATTGAAGTCGTTATCAAAAGATGTATGTCTATGGTATGAAGAATGTATCAACACATGCGTGAATAAGTTTCATGTCCACACATTATTCCACTGTCAGGGCTTTAACAGTGACAAGGGATACGCATGATGGAGATAAAAGAGAGATAACAGATAAGCCTCGAATTCAAGAAATCGATTACTTTATGTGGCTAACCATCAGTTCGCCTAGCATTTGCATTTCAAAATATGATCTCAGGTAAAGTGAAATTAAAAAGAAACAAACGTGATGCGTAGTTCCTTAGTCTATTATGTGTTTATATGATTGCAATTAAATAGTCGGTATCAAAAACCTTTACACTCTCGCTTGCTTGATAGGAATTTTAAAAATGAAAATATTTTGCTTAATGCAGGCTACACTCTTACACCTTCCGATTATATGCACATTTGCCTTTATATTGTTGCATTGATCGTATATGCACATCTTCCATTCACACTATCTAGAAATGGATATCAGAGAACCAATAATGTGTACATAGACTACATTCTCTGCTAAGATAACAAATCAGCTCGATTGGCCTAATTGAGATAGAAGGTGATGTTGTTTCAATAATAGGTAAGCATTGCCTTTAGCCGTTAAACCAGACAGGATAATTAATAATATTTATTGCTTGGCTTGAACCCAGCCCTCTAAAATTTGTTCGAACATTCGTTCACTTTTCGTCTTTCGCTCAGCAAGCATTTGCTGTTGCTTTTGCAAGTACATCGACTCGTTGATTTGAAATACACTTGTGCGCTTTGTAGATGTTAAAGAAGCGCCTGCTTTCGAAACGGTTTCATGTGCTCGAGTCATTGGCGCACACGATTCGCAGTACGATTTCTGCAACATTTTAAAAGAATCGTTTTATGAAATTTTTGTTTGAATTACAAAGTCAAAGATGAATACTTTCTCCACGAAATGTGTCTTTTGCAGTAATCGCGAAGTGTTTATGACTACGATGATAATAAAACAAACAACAAAACACGCTGAATAGCTAATTATTGTCAAGTTTTGAATGGGTAACTGAGTATAGTGCTATAGACTTGAAGGAAACTGTGGTAACATCTTCAAGGAGAGTCTTCAAATGTTGTATGCGCTAAGTGTTTCATTGACCTACATAGATGAGGCTTGAAAGTATGTAACGATCGGACGAGTAAAATATCGGCAATTATTGGAATATTTTGAAGAAACGTCAACTTGTACGATTTAACCACAATACTTATTAGAGCTTCTTTATGCTTAAAATCGCTTCTCCTCCAGCGTTCCTAGTGTCTGCTACTGTGGTTGATTAAAAAAGCGAGCGATACAAAGGCGAGTACTGTGTATTAAAAATATATACGGAGTTAATAATTTGTGTCAGCCGATGTTAGAAACTATCCAGAAAAACTTTATTCTCTTAAGATAGGCGAACTTTTTGTTCCCTTGAATTTAATGCAAGGAACTACGAAGTAGAAGCGCGAATGGCACTACCATCATAAATCGAAACGTAGAGATGGGGAAAAGGATATTGAAAAGAAGGAAACAAACGCCAGACGTCTGGAATAACACAGTAAGTATGATAGACGGACTAAATAGCCCAGATGACAGAAAAGTGAACACGGAAATAAGTCATAGAAGAGAGAAGAACTTACGTTTAAGATCGTGTATCTCTCTAGATTGGGTACAGACTATTGTCAATAGGGAAAAGATAGTAAAGATACGATTCTCCAACTGGTGTACCGGGAAGATAAGAGCCCGTGTAGAAAAACGATTCCCACGCACTTTTCCTTTTATCAAAATCAGCCGACATTAGGGAAATCCGTTCTTTCTTCGGGTATCACTCGATCGATCTTATCAACACGAACATTCTTATGAAAAGCCCTTGGCTAGGCATCTTCATTGCCGGCATCATAAGTTTATTTTATAAGCTGTTCCTGAACTTCTACTTTTGACTTGGTGAGACGAATAGCAATAGTAGTTACCTATGTGCTGACTTCTTTCTGTTCCATTTAGATACATTTACATTGATTGACACCCCCATTTCTGCTATTTTAGTATTGACTATTAATAGTTAAATAATTATACGTCCTATTTTCTTTGTCAGCATACATACCCAAGTTGAATGAAGAATGAAGAAAGAAATGTATTTACGAGTACTTGCTTGCTTTTTCCGAAGTCCTCTGCTAAGCTTTTGTATAAAATTATGTTCCAGAGTTAAAATGCATTTGCAAACGATACTAACGTGGGGTGATATCGCCAGAAGGGAGACAATACAAGATCGGCCACTTATAAAACTCAACCTATCCGTGTGCCTCTATCGATTATATCTGTGATTTCTCTCCTCTATCGTGTCCGTCTATCCTTCCTTGATCTTCCTATGATCTTCAAAATTTACTATTTTTTCATAATAGCGCGAATGATTTAAAATAATTGGTTAGGTCAATTGATCCGGAGCAGCAATTTGTTTGCGGGCCACCCGTTTGCCAGAAAATAAGCATGCGATCCTCCGTATCAAGCTTAAATGTTATGTACCCTCGAATAGGACGATTGGAGACCAGCGCTAGTCTTCACTGACCTGAGTACTTATACGCTACCGAAGCGAATAAAGCAAACACGTATTCCGTTCGATTCGTCAACTGGAAGAATACTGCCAGCGGAGACTAAAAATAAACTTTGCTTTTCAGTTGGTAACAGATTGAGCTAGTCACTTGTGGTAAAAGAACGGGTGAGTGGATGTGTGCAACGCTCGGAAGGTTTTGAGGTAGACACATCTTCAATTGTAACGATTTCAGCTTGTCTATCCGTCAGTGCGTTTTGTTTTCTTATGTTCACCTTAAAGGCCCCAGTTTTTGAGATATTTTGATGAAATTTGATACATTCATGTGTTTTGGCTCAAGGACAAACGCTATTAAAAATGGTTCCGATTGGGCCACTTTTTTGACCGCTTCCCACATAACGCTTTATTTTGAAAAGTCTTTATGGAAATAAATCTAGGATGTTTTAGAGTGTTTCATGAACCACCTGAAGCATTGTAGTATTTCTATCCGTTATATGTCTATAGTTGTGTTATATGTATGAATTCAGGTAAAAGCTTTGGTTTACAGGGTTTCTTTAAATTTCTTCCACTGCGCTAGGTATTAACCTAATTACGTCGTTTTAAATATCTTATGGTCAGCACTCCCGTTTTGCTTACTTACTTCAAAAAGGAATAAAGTCCATTTTACGGAGGATCCGATATGTGCGCTTTTAGCAGCATTTTCTTGCACGGCCTCGAGACAACTTTTTGTATAACGTTTTGAATCAATTCTCTCATAGTTTTGATAACAACTTTGCGGTATAAACTTCCCCATCGAAATATAATCTTGCGTTGAATTTTTTCCACAACAATTGTACTATGAAATCATTAAATAACAAAAACACACACTTGTGTGTAAGCAAGAATGTGTATGAATTTGCGTATGTATACAAACATTTTGCTCAAGCTCCGCTATACGCTCCACGTTAACTGGAAAATTTTGCCAGAGCTTAATGAGGTCATCGGTGGCATTTCGTTTATAATCGGTGGTGTGTGCAACCACAAGGATGTAAATTTGAAAAGTCAATAGAAATACGACACACAGCCCATACTATATGCATACGTAGGAATTGAAATAAAGTGAGAATCAATTTTAAATTCGCTTTAATGAAAATTGAACTCCATCGCGGTCTTACACTCCAGATAAGGCCCAACGATTCACGACATGCACCAAAACAACCCAAGAATGATGTAAGTATAAGAAATGAACCGATAAATATTTGTATTATCACAGCGATGTGTTCGAATGTGCCCGGTGTCGAAATATTCAATTCGTAAACCGATAGCGCTATTAGTCCGACACCCAATAACTACAAATAATTAAAATGATTGTGTATTCATATCCCGATGCAATGGCTTTTCTTCCTCTTTTTTTTTTCTCTTTCTACGTACCGACAACACGGTATTAATTATATTTAATACTATATTATAAAAGGTTGTTTGGCAATTCATGGTCGTTAAGAATTTTCCAAAAAAAATTGAAAATAAAAATAAACAGGAATAATAATTATATAAAAGCTTTAGCAAATTTTCTCTCGACCACCATTTGCTTTCGCGGTTAACAGTAAACTAACTTTACTTTCCTTTTTCTCTGCACATTATTGTTTTCATTGGTTATGTTTACATTAGTTTCAAGGTTTCTATGTGTACATAAATACATTTTTATATATATTCACCATTGTCAGCGAATGAATATACGGAGTGCGAGGTTACGCTTGCATTTCAAGGAACAAGCGATTTTGTGTGTGTGCGTGTTTGTATTTTCATAAAAGTTAAAAATTATTACCAAACTGTAGAAAGTCTACAAATGTAGACGTAAGCAACTTACTTTGCTACCCTACCAAACCTAGTCGAAGTCTTCATGTCCGCCTGAGTGGCCGAGTAGGCCAGGGATCTCGACTAACAATTGAATGGTTGTGGTTTCAAATCAATCAGTATGGCCTTAGATGCTAATACTGTAAGATTTCAGTTTGAGAATAACTTTCTCTGGGTAAATTAATTACAATTAAACAGCGCAATTGACTAACACAATGCTCATTTTTTATTATAGAACACTAAAATTATCTCTTGTTTCTGCATAAAGTCGTATTCATGGATGCCCATACCACTGATGGTATCCACTTGCATGCATATAGAGTTAAGATGAACAAGCCGTTTATTATATCGCTTGATTCGGAATCATTATCTGAATTGAACTAATCCTGTCCGTCCGTCTGTCCGTCGGACCATCTGATGTCTGTCCATGTAAATTTGCATTCACGCTATAGGTCGCAATTTTTGAGATATTATGATGAAATTTGGTACAATGACGCGTTTTCGCCTAAGGACGAAGGTTTTTGAAAATGGTTGAAATCGCTCTACTTTTCCATATTCCGAAAAATCGTTATATGGAAAAAAAAAAAAAAAATTCTCCGCAAAAGTGGCTAAGTAGAACTATTTCGGCATTCTAAATTGGTATGGAAACTTTGGACCGGCTGGGGCAATTTTTGAACTCCCTCTCATATAACGAAAACTGAAGTTCATACGTCAAAAAGATAAAACTTTCAATGCTTCACGATTAGAATTGTATCATAATAGTAATTTAAGATAAAAAATCAACTGCGCCAAATTTGGCCTATTTTTCGGGTCCTACGATTTTGGATTTCGTGAAAATTTATCCTTTGTAGAACAGAAAAGTTTAAGTTTTAATAAGTGGTGATGGAAATTGTCTCATAATATTATAGCGATGTCGTACAAACATGAACTCTGCAAAATTTGGACAATCTCCCGCCAGATGTCGCGCGTGTTTGTTCCCTTAACTTCCAACTATTAAACCCAGAATGTTCACGATTTTTACTTAATGAAGCCTCTGCTGCTAACTACTATTTTAAAAAATAGGTTTACTCTACTGTATCTTTTAGGTTTTAGGCAATGGCTTTCGTGACTCTCCAAATAGAATTCATAAGCATTCGACATAGCTTATGATATAGTGTGGGCCATTACAACTAACACTTGTTACTTGTAATCTCTGTTATTTGGTGGTCTTGAGATTAGGACTTATGCATACTTGTAGAAGCAGTGATAATATAATGCAGTTGTCGCCGAACGTTTCATTGCATTTTTTACTGGTATTTGCAACTTATTTAGCCCCAAACTCTCCGTGATGGCAGTCTGGACAAAAGTTACTTCTATTCGTCTTCATTATTTTTCAAAATTGAAAACATGCCAAGAAGATATGATTCGAACCGTCGGTTACCAAACACCATAGACAAGCCTTAAAACGCTCCTTTTCACGGATCAACTGCATGAAGTGGAAGTCCGTGTTTATAGAATATTGCGGTAAATACCTAGCTAAGTATGCGTTAAGTCTGTCCATGTTGAGCACACTTGCTTCTTGTTCTTTAAACTGATAATCTTCTTATATATTTCGAACTGTAACTTACTCTATTGTGCGTGCCGCTGAAGCTGATCTCTATCGTATACATACGACATACATTTGTTTGAACAGGCGCAATTTAGTGATGCATATTAAAAAGTTACACCCAACCTGAATAAAACTTGTTGTTTATTCTCCTTTATCTTCTACAGGTTTTTAAATATGACATAAGTGACATAACATAAGTAATAAAATGGGAAATTTATTGATATCTGACTTTTGCAACAAAATAATGAATGAGAAATGCACCTCTCCGTCTTCCGACATCGATTCGGCTTCAAGTAGAAGATGACATAACCCTGTCGTGCTATGAGCAAATTATTAAAATTTACCTTGTAGGAGAGACAGGCCGATTCTTCGGAAGTCTTTTTGATAGAAGATCACAGAAAAATTTGTCTTCCATTTATCTCTTTTAGGAATCTTCTTCTTCTTAGAAGAAGATATCAAATTAAGCAGAGAAAATTGATGTCAAATTTGTTTCTGAGAATTTCTAATAGAATGGACGTTTGCAAGAATCCTTTCCTTTTTTTTTCTGCGAAATCCTTGTATTCATCAAACTGACTGACATTTCTGAGAACGTAATCTGGTTCTTTCCAGATTGTGGTTTTATTTTTTCATGGTCGTGGGCTATTTTTCAGCATATGTAATGCTGGATATGCTCCTTGCTTCGATCGTGTCGTAAATGCTCTTTTGAAAAATATTTCAGAATAATTTTCCATTCCTTTCAATGATGGCTGCTTTGAAAGAAAATTTTTGCTCTACTTTTCTTACTTTGCAAAGTCATGCAAACACTTTCGCTATTTTGCGTGTTGCATGTAATCAAGTCATGGCATAGCTTAAGCTTTCATTGTTTAAATAAATTCTTGTGTGTGTTTATATATAGAACCATTAGATATATAGAGATATGTAATATATACAGCCGAGGATGTATAAATAGTAACGTAATAATATAAAAGGCTCAAGAGCATTTTTTTTGTTTTCTTTCAAAGTTTCGTTTAAATTATGTCAAAAGAAGCAAAAACTTTATAGCCCGACCGACCTTAAATTTTAAAATATATTTCTAGAGGAAGAATTCAGAAACATGAACCGATATAGCTGTAACTTAATGCGATTATATTTTTTGTGGACGAACTTATCAATGCTCTTCCACTTGTGATAAAAAAAATGGACCTGTTTGATATGCAAAAGGCTCACTTTTCAAGAACCCTTACCTTTGAGGGCCGCTGCGTAGACGAATAGATACGAGTCGCGACCAAGTCGGTCTTTGCGCAGCCTAATCTAATCACTGTAGACCGTACGGTGGCTCACTTGGTGAAGGCATAACTTACCGATTAGGCTTACCCGGTCCAAGTTTTCCACATCAATTTAGTAGTTTGTCAAAATGTTGCAGACATAGGACTGGTAGACAGGTAGACGACCAGACAAGTTTAAGTCGATTTAGAAAATGATTTCGAGCGGAGCGATATGAGAAATAGTAAATCTAACATAAATCCTTCTGCTTACTGCGCACAGTTCCGCTCAAACTTATTGTATCTTGTACCACTAATGATACAATAAATAATTTTATACATTTTTTGTTTAAATATTTGCGAGGACTGCTTTCGGTTCCTGGATTTTTAAAATTAAATTTTATGTATGCTTTTGGCCCCTTTTTTTAAATCTGCGTTCATCCTTGCGACAAAGTCTATTTACATATCCATGGCCGTATATGCATAGTGTGTATTGCATTGTCAAAATTAGGAGAATCTTCTCTTCTCGTACATGTGCTTGTAAACATGTTTACATATATGCAATGTTTATTATATTACGTATTTTATGTAAATGCATTCCATTGTTTCTGTAGTTAACATTTTATCGTTATAACGTAATAATTGTGACCTAATTTTAAGGTCGAAGGCATACACTTTCACAAGATATTAAGTTTGATATTTAACTTGTAATACATCCATCAATTTGTATATGACAGTTGAGCTTAATTAAATTTTTCTAATAGCTTAGCTCTTAAGCCCTTTCGCATGATGCTTATGCGTCATATATTCAACTCAAAGTTGGTTGATTTAATAAATTTGAAGGGCAGAAAAACTATATTGTGAATGTCATCATTCATCGTCTCTTTTAAATTGATTTTGTTAAATAATTTGCTAAAGTTTGTGAATAAATTTTTGTTCAACAGCCCAATTACGGGACAAACTCTGACAGCGTAATATATTAAATGACACACATTTCCATAGCCCTTATTGTTATTATGGTGTAGACAATCGGTTTCACAACCTAAAAGATCTGTTATACTCACCCATGCTCGTAATCCTCTAAGTTTAAGATTCCTACGAATCCCGCCACTTCCTTGGCTTAAGAGCAGTATACTGCGTCTGGCGTTATGAAGTATTTGCGAAGCATTTGGTGTCTGATTCTGCAGATAGCCTCCTAGTCACACATAATAGAATGTGATGGAAAGTTTAGTGTGTCCCGTGGTATAATCTGCATGCATCGAAGATACTAATGCTTTTCAGGTAGTGCCCGAGGAAATTATGATCCGTGTGGAAGCTTGCGAGCAATCGTACGTCGTTCCTTTTTAGTTCCAGTATTTTATTTGTTATGTAGGAAGATTTAATAAACGTTTTCGCTTGCCGTTGTCCAGCAGTTTCCTTCCAATGGCTATCCGACTTTCTATCCGCTCTTTGTATCTATCAATGTGGTTATATTTGACATATTGTGTGCAAAATGAATTCGCACTTTTTAAGTAGCCTGCATGTAAGCCCCACATTTCTTAACGGAATCAGAAAAGAAAGTTCTCTTCTCGACGAAAGATTCGTACGAATTTGAATAAAGAAAGATCGCTATTTGTCACTGTCTGATGTGCAGTGGACATGCTATATATAATATATATTAAGATTCTATTAAATATTGTGAAGATTGAGAGAGGGTTTATTTTCTGCTCAAGTTGGATATCTACATGCATTATATATGTATAAATAAATACATGTATATAAAAATCGTACTCGTTCATGCATGTATGTAAATATGAAACCGGAATCTTTGTATAGAACTTATATGGTGTACGTCCGTTTTATGTATGTATATATATATATAGATATATGCTTACATATATATATGTATACTTACATATAAGTACACACATACCAAGCTTTGCGAGTTAAAACGCATTTATTTTTATTCAATCTTATATTTAACTTATTCAATTATAAGTGAAACGGTGTAAAACACATAAAATACAATTTTGTAAATATTTTTATATAAATATGGTAACAGAATATAATAATAATGGTACGCTGCATATTATTTTTCAACGGCTTTTGGATATGAAAAAGTTTGGAACGATTTAACTGTACAGAATACATGGAACCTTTAGTAACGAAATATTTGGAAGAAAATGCAAAGCAAAAAATTGTACGGTACGTTGTTATTTTGTAAGCAAAGCTCGAATTTCGGGAAAATGGTAGAAGCCATTTTATTTAAAGTACTGTTTATCACTAGCTGCATATTTTATTCTTCGCAGAATATTATTATACCGGAAGAGCAACTGACTTGTCAAGGAAATACCAATTAAATGCAGCGAGAGGTCTAATGCAGTGTCGTTGACGTCTTTTGAAGCGCTTTTTCAATCTGGGACCGAGTCTTTTAAGGGCCATATTGCCGCAGCTTCTTTATCAAATTCGACGCCGATGTACAAGTTTCTGCTGATAGCGTCGCCCCTCGTAGATTTCATAGGTTTGAAGTAGTTCAAAACCGACTGCATTCAGCTAATTTTCAAGAGATGAGTATGGCGATGCCCCCCTTTCCCTATACTTCACCTTCTTTGCACATCCAATATTGTCTTGCGTTCAATTTTCATCGACCGGTGCAATTCAGCAGGACTTCCATTGTAATTAAGTGATGAAAGCGCTTTCTTCGTTTGGCGTATCGCTTTTGACATAAAGCCCGACTTGCTAGAAGCTTTTAAAACTTATGGTTTATACAAATTGTTCTGTATTTTGGCGTTCCAATGTAATTAAAGCTTAATTAGATAGATCCAATCGGCTTAGGCAAGCGAAAAGTTGGTCTCTCTACATCTTCGTTTTATACCAATTGGAGCAACAGGTATGTTTAGTGCCCTGCTAATGGAGGGGTTAATGAAAGCCATTACTAAATTCCACCATAGGAACTGTCTCCACCTGGCACTCGCAGTTCGAATCAAAAATGCATTTTGGCTAATCGGCCTTGCTCCTATATAGAGACGCTTGCATTCCGATTGTCCGTACGTCCACGAATGTCGTTCAGTTTTCCTTTCTTTTCAGAAACCGTGCTACTTCTTCGGTTGTCTTGCCTATCCAAATCCTGAACCTCCATAGTAGCAGACGATTTTCGAAACATCTGATGAAGGTATTCCGCCGCTGAGAACTGCGTTGTATGTAAGTGGAATAAGTAATAATTTTGCCTGAAGATTGGGACGAAAAAGTCAGTGTTCGAGAGATACTCCTCTCAGACAAAATAATGCAGTCTCTTCGAAAACCCCTAACGAGTTATTATACATCTGAAAAAAATATAGTTTTTTCTTTAGCCGTCGATGAATTGCTTTACAATTCGACCTGGAGAGATTATGAAAAAGAAGTTTTATTTTTTCTAGATAAGATAGCGAGATTATGATGAAACACTGCTACACAGTTATTTATATGACAACTTTACTAAATAACGCATTAAATGGAAAGTCACCGAGAAAGCAGTTCGATCCGAATTATTTGGAATAGCGTTCTTTTTTGGATAAAAACACGTCGCGTACATATCACATTGCGTCAGAATATCTCAAAAATTTCGGCTTGTACGTTGAACGTAAGAAAACAACGTGGACAGACGGACAGACAAGAGATAGAGAGAGAGTAAGATGATTCTGAATACTAAAAGAAGGATCTATTTCCAATTCTTCTCGGTGTTGCATTACATTCGCACAAACTTAATAAACCCTTGCACCACAAGTGGCGTAGGGCATAAGAACATTTCAATTAATAGAATTGATTCTAAGTAATCTTTGAGCTCGATTGATCATCATCGTCGCAGCATGTGTGATGTGTTCACCTGAATGAGTTGAATTTCATATTTCCTTTTAAAAGTGTATAAATGAACTTCACCGCGGTTTTAATCAATAAATCGTCGTGAGCGTTAATGCCGGAATTGCAATATCAATGCAAACCGCGTAGTGAAAATGTAAACTTGACAAACTTGACAAACGAAAAAAAATGCAATTTATTTCGAGGTCATTATCTATAGATAGAATAATTAAATCATTCGAATGCGGGTGAAGGATGGAATGCGTTCTTTTTTTTTTTTTTTTTTTGTCTTTTACTTTATGATTTTTTTATTTTATATTTTAAATATAATTCTTATCTCTTACTCAAGTAAGGAAACTAAATAATGCATAAGAGTAATAATGGTGTGAGAGTATGAATGTAAACGTAATGCACGTATTTCGTATTAATTCCGTACATGAATATGACAGATGTTAAATTCATTTTTAAACTTATTCGAGTAAAAGTCATCTCATAATTGCACTTTTCTAAGGTGGTTAGTTAAACGATAATTTTACAAATTTATCATATTTAGTCCATAGTTGCATAGTTGCATAGTTTTGTTTTTGATTGCATTACAAAATTTTCATGCTTTAAAAGCGCATACGTCTCTGAGTATTGCGAAAATTTATCACCAAAAATACGGCCAACAAGAAGGCAATTAGCTGAAAATTAAAGAAAAAAAATTATATTTAGCTTTCACTTTTGAATATTTTTTCAACAAAAAAATACCTCGAATGCTATTAAAATCCAGGATACGATTGAACAATGCCACCATTCGTCTTCATAATATGTCTGCAGTTTACTGCTGCAACCTTCAGTGAAAAGATTACTGACTTTTGTATAATCCTGATCCACATAACAACTAATTGGTATCGGTTTGCTAAGAACAACGTAATCGTTGGCACTAGTTTTTCCACAGCATTCGTGTTCGCTTTGAATTTCATCCATACTATTCGATTCCCAGGCTTCGTTTACTATACTATAGCCATTACGCATCCCGCCTTCACTTATATCGTTGCTGGTGAAGACAATTTGAACGATGGCCAAAATCAATAAGAACACAGCACACTGCCGAATAGAGAGAGAGAAAATGTTATTCGAATATTGAAGAATAATTGAGAATTACAAGACACCTTACCGTCGCCATTAGGCACATCGATTCCCGTACGGCTGCAAAACAGCCCAGAAACGCGAAGAACACTATTAGGGAACACGCAATGTAGACAATGATTGCCAACTGCTCTTGGATGTAATCTGGATTGAATGATATCCAAATTATTGCACAAATTGCAAATATCTGAGAAAGAACAAGAAACGATTGATGGATTCAGCAAAAGTACGATGGAATGTTATTGAAAATTAAACTGAAGCTCTTTTTAAAATCTCTTGAACTTGAATCACATTTTATCATATCCACCATAAGCTGATTTACGGTATTTGATGGCAGGACACAGGGAAGATCCAGTCGCTCGTCTGTCGTTTTATACTTATCGTAAAACTCGAAAGCTTGCTCTCAATTCAGTCGAAATTTTAAATACCTATCATTCGCTTGTTTATAGTCCTTATTTACAAAATGAACCTAAGATTTCTGCATTCGCTTATCGCACACTGCCTAAGATAAATCCACCTTTTATTACGCCTATAGAATCAGAATCATTGTCTAAGCTTGCTTGTCCGTCCGTGTTCTTGTGTTCAGCTTAGCTACAGGTCGCAATTTTTGCGATATTTTGATGAAATTTGATACACTGACTTGCTTTGACCCAAGGGCGGCCAGAAATCCGAAGAAAAAAAGTTCTTCAGCAATCAATCCTTGATATATTCTTGTTCGAATACCTGAATAATATGTTGCTGGACAACTTACCAAAAAAGTGCGAGGTGTAAACATCGAATCACATAACGTTTACTCAATGCTATTGCCTGCGATTACATTTGTGAAAGTGTACTTAAATCTATTTATTCTTAAACCATGTGGAGATACTGCCTGAGGAAGGCAGAGCCAAATTTAACTGAAATATTTTTCATAGATGCCTCCTACGGTATTTATCATATCTATGGAATGACTAAGAATTATGACAGGGTTTGAGTACTATTCGCAACAAAATTATTGGCGTAGAGTGCTACGTAACGCTACATCCTTCAATCTAAAAGTTTTACTTATATTTAGTTTTTGGAAATTTTGAATAGGTGGAGATTTTTTTGTCAGGAGACGCTTGGTTCACAGAATAAAGCTGCCGAGTCGCGACGATTGATAAATCATATAACCATAATGCAAAATAGATGAGCCAATAACACTAATGGTAAAGTTTAATATCCATGGCGGCCCTATTTAGGAATAGAGCGAGGGATTAATTCGATCTAGTGCATAATTTGTTGAAATTTTAAGAAGGGTATGCTTCCAACACATCTCAAAATACTAAACGCCATGTTAACGAAATTTTTAAGCTTCATCACATCCGGTTGCACATAGTGAAATTCATTCAAGACGTTTTTGTAGAACCAAACCGAAATGTGATGTTCTCTCCGTTATATTCACTAAATTTTAATTCGCCGGATTAAGATAAGCTTTAAGCAATGCTTTATTGTTTGTTCGCAAGCTGGGCTCACAATATGGTCACGACACGCAGAAAAAATGTCGTCCGCGTGGAGCTAGCTGTCTTTTTCTGCCCAGGAATCGTATTCTTCCGTCATGCGATCTTTTATAATAAACTTTCAATTTAAATAAAAAAAATTGTTGAGGTTCTAATATTTCCCCGAATTTTGATGGGAGTATGCTACACCACTTACTACACTTGACCCGATTTTATCTTCAATGCTTTCGTTTTACATTCGATTATTTCGTTTCTAGAGAACATTTATCATATATCAGATTTGTCGAAAGTTTGCATCACGTAGACATGTGCCTCGAAATCACAGAAAAAGAGCACATGCACTGCTAACTTCCTATTGCGACATATAAGAAGCACGTAAATTATACATTCACTGTCTTTATTCAAAAAAAAAAAAAAAACAACCTTAATTAGAACAGGTGGCAGCGGCCGATTTCTCCCATTTTTAAATATGTACCTCATGCAAGTAATAATATAAAAATTATAACCATTGTAGCATTAGCTGTAGTGTATGAGTGATGAGCAAAACCCCAAATTAATTCATGCTTTTGAAAACGGAGGTTTTCTTAGTTTACCTTGTACTGTAGATGTGTCCTTTGATCGATTCGCCTCATTTTCAATAACTGTCTGCTAGCAAGAACTTTTAATGGTTGAGGTAGATGTCGTAATTTTTGCTGCCTACAGAATGTTTATTACAGACGGACAGACTGACGGGCAAACATGACATCATATCTCACGAGCTTCAAATGGTTTTACCAAATATAAAGTCGAAATATTAATTTTCACAAGGAAAAGAATATTGAATTACACATAACTAGACAGATGGACGTGCCCACATCTATTCAAAATTTAGTATTGATCAAGGGCTTGTGTCGTATAGGATCCTAGAAACTTAATTCCAAGTGCGTTTTAAAAACATTTCGGGGATGAGCACAAACAAGACCCTGACGCCAGGGTTAGCTTAAGCGATAGGCGATTTTATTCCGCTAAAGAGTGAACCAAACAGCCGTGAAATGGCCTAAAACTGATATTTTACCTAAGTTACACTTTATTGTTGCCATGAAGTAAAGAAGTTATGAGCTTTCATTCTTCGTACTCTTGTATCCACAGGCAAGAACAGAATTTAAATGGTTAAACGGTTGGATAGACCGATCGGTAGTTAAAGAATTCTTGCATAGTTTCGCATTGAATAATAATACATTTGTAGTGCGATGTCTCTAAAGCCAGTGTGCATAGCATTTACGCCAAGCAAGACAATTTTAAGGTACCACGCCGTGTTTGACACAAAAATACACTTTGTTTATTTACTTGAATGGAATGAACTTTACAATGACATGAAATATTGTCTTCAGTTATAAGCTTTAACGTGTATTGCATATCTTGGGGGACGTATTTTTTTGTTTTCTTTTCTTCGAGTCCTTTTTCTTGACACAAACATACACATTTAAAAAGAAACGAAAAGGTTAACAGATATGAGATCATAGCTGACATAATAATATCGATGAAAACATAAAATAATGTGCAATGAAATATCATTTCAATGGACAAATAATGTAATAAAAGCAAAATGACGTAGACTCATACTAAGTTTGAAATGAATTAATTAAAAAAAAAATAAACAAATACTATACACGCTAAATATATACGTATATAATTTAATTTAAAAGAGCAATGATTCACACAAAACATTTGTGTGGAAGTGTGTGTTGGGATTCTGGGAGACAACTAAATAAATAA